CCCTGTGAACCGGAGCCCGTGGTGCTGGTAAGAAAACCGAAGTGGCCCTGGAGGGTGGGCGTTTCATCCCGCAGTCGAGGGCTGGCCCCTGGCAGACTCCCCAGAGCCCGGCACCTGACCAAACTCTCGAGGGCACCCAGTAAATAATAGGACACTGACCAACTGCTCGCCCCCTGGCAGCAGGGAAAGTGGGGGGGTTCACAGAGGTGAAGCTTGCTTGCATGAAGAACTTGGGAGCTATGACCCGAGTCTGGCCTTGGAAGGTGCTGCGCCTCAGAGGTTTCCCAGCCTGGTTTACAGGTCCCAAAGCACCAGTCACGACAACCAGAGCCCAGTGAAACAGTGGGGGCCGACCAGTCCGAGGCAGCATGCAGTCAGGACTGACCCCAAATCATTCTGGTCCTGAACCCCCTAGGAGTTGGGAACCCTGGGCCACACCTGCTGGGCTTGCCCTTCAATCATCTTGGGAACAAAAAATGTGGGCGGGGGCATGGTGGGTGATGTTAAGGAGGCAGCCCTGTCCCAGGCCCCCTCCTGCAACCAAGGAGCAGCCAGAGAAAGGGACCTGGGCAGCGAGGGATAGAGAGGGGAGAGGCAGCTTGCTTAGTCACTCTCCATCCTTCTGACGGTCCTCCCCCTAGCCCCCCATGCCTAGTCATCAAACACTAGTCATGGCCAGGTTAGTAGCTGTGAGTCCCTCAGGAGGGAAAAGGCATCAAACCAATTTACCAGCAAGGCCAGAGCTTTAAGTCCCCATGAATCGCCTACCCTCTTGTTCCCAAACTCCAATAGTGGCCCTAATGTCGAGGGGATCCTTGTGAGCCATGTGGGGCTGGGTGACTGTGGGTGGAATGCCAGCTGGCTTCTTAACTCACTCCCTGGGCCATCTCTGGGCCTTGCACACTAGCAGGACGCCAGTAGGAGCAGCCCCCAAACGCTATACCTACGGCAGTCAACAGCCTGGGGCAGGCTCTTTCCCTTGCACAACTGCCAAGGGGAAGTGAGCATTTGCTGTCTTGTCTAAGTTTCCATCCCATGACTTTGTGCTTAGTCCTCTTTTCTTCCTTTAAGATGTCACTGCCCTTTAAGAAAGTTGGGGAGGGCATGGGTAGGTAGGGATCACCTCCTTGTAGTTATTACAGAGGAAGTAAAGGGGGAAACTGAGGCAGTAAGGCCTAATTTCTCTTAAGTTCTCCCAAATCAGTGGTGGCCCCAGAGAGAAGCCCTGTTACCCAGACTTCATGAAGAGCATGGGGTGAGGGATGAGCCCCTGCCAGTCCAGGATGGGGGGCCCGGGGCCCGGGGAAGAAAGAGGAGGTAAGGTCAGTATTCTCTAGCACGACGCATCACCAGTGTCTGTCCCTCATTACTCTGAAGATCAGCTCTCGAGCCCTGTGCCTCCCCTATTACGTTCCAGCTGCACTGGCCAGCTTGTGGTTCCTTCACCGGGTCAAGCTCTCTCTTGCCTTGTGGTCTTTGCATATACTGTTCCCTGGGGAGGCTTCCTCCCAGCAAATCAGTCCCTGGTCGTATGCTGTCTCTCTTGCTGCCACGTGTGAGGACGCAGAATAGAGCAACATGAGGGCCCCGGTCCCTCCTCCCTCCCTACACCCCAGTTGTCTTAGGTCTCTGTCAACTCTCACCTGTACCTCTGTAGGAGACGCCTAACCTGTCTTCTTGCTTATGCTCAGCACCCTCTCTAATCTGCCCTCCACACTGCAGCCAGGATGGCTTTTCTAAGTTGGCTTTGACTGACCACTTGTCTGAACTGCTGAAGGCCATGCTCAGTGGATGTGATCTCATTAGCCCTACCCCCGCCCCCTGCCTCACCTACAGCCTGTGCACCTGACCAGGGAGTAGGTGCCTCTTGTCTTCTGTCTGTCCTCTGCCACTCAAGGGCTCTGCACCTGCTGGTCCTGGAGGAGCCTGGGTGTGTAGAGACCCCAAGCACCTCACCCTGCAGCCATCTCATGGTTGGCCCCAGATGCCACTTCGCCACTGCCCAGTCCTGAATACTGGCCCCAGGAGCAGAGAATGTCCTCTAGGCTGGATCCCAGGTTGCCAGTCCCTGTGCAGAGCTAACACAGAGTCCAGTTGTTGGGTTTTTGGAAAAGCTGCATCGGGGAGTTTAATGAGTAACCTGCAGGGCTGTTTTCCACCCCTGATGGTACAGAACAGCCTCGGAGGTCAGGGGGCTGGGTGGCTGGATGGGGCCCAGGCCCACGACGGCCAACAGCTGGAAAAGCAGAAGTGGAGAACACCCTCCTGGAGCTGGCTCCAGCGGCAGCTCCCTTGGGAGGCACCTCCTCTACCGGGTGACCACCCCTGTGGATGTGGGCAGGGTGGGCAGAGGGGGGGGGCATGAGGCTGGAATCACAGCCTGGATTCCAGGCCAAGTCTGCCACTGGCCTGCTCCAGGACTTTGAGCAATGACTGCTTTTCCTCAGCCTGTTTCATAGCCGCAAACAGGGAATTAGGAGAAGGTGGGGGAGGAAGGAGGCCAGACAGAACGATTCTCCCTTGGCAGCAGCAAATCGCGTCTTGAATTGCCGGGGTTCCTCCTCTTCGCCCTGCTCCCAGCCCTCCCTCTCCTCCCCCATCCTCCTTACTTGGAGAGTGGAGGCAGGGGAGCCTGGAGCCTAGAGCCTCCTTGACGGGCCTGGGTTGAGTTCTCCCCTCCAGGCTGTGTAAGCTTGGACAAGTGGCTCACCTCTGAGCCCCCATTCCCTCATCTGTGAAATGGGTACACTACCTCTTGCCTCTGGAGCTCCTGGGAGAATTAAATACACCTGGGTGCATAAGGCACTGGACATTCAGCAAATGGCAGTTTTACAAACACAAAGGGCCAGGAGGAGACTGGGGGCGGTGCAGGCAAGAGCGAGCAGGGGTGGAGGAGTCAGAGTCTGAGCCGCCTGTCCTCTTCAGCACTCCCCATCTGCAGGCCCACGGCCCCAGGCTGGCCCTCTCCTGGGCTGCAAAGTCCCTGGCTCCATAAAAAATTAACAGCTCAGCAAAGCGCAGGGTTCAGGTGTGACCTATGGTCCCTAGAGTTGCACAAAGAGTGGCATTCAGCCCTAGGAATGTCCTTACAGGAGGGCCCTGCTCAAATATGGCTGGTGGGGGGCGGGGAAGGGGGTTGGGAAGCCCCTCCTGCCTAAAACCCGCCATTAGAGTCTTCAACGATTTAAACCAGGGGTGGGCAAACTTCGGGCTGCACTTGTTTTTACAAAGCCTGCAAGCTAAGAATGTTTTTTGCATGTGTAAATGGTTAAAAAAAAAAATCAAAGAAAAATATTTAATGGTATGGGAAAATTATATGAACTTCCTATGTAAGTGGCCATCAGCGAAGTCTGTGGCAGACAGCCATGCTCGTTCGTGTTGCCTGTGGCCCCTCTCGTGCTGCAGTGGTGAGGAGAGTAGTTTCAACAGGGACTGTATGTTCCACAAAACCAAAAAACATTCACTATCTGGACCTTCAGAGCAAACATTGGCAGACCCTGGTTTAAAAGAAACCAGCTTTGAAAGTGGGAGTGCCCTGGGGGCGATGAGGCTGGCCTGTTAGGTGGGAGTCAGCAGTCTCTGTCTAACCATTAACCAGTCCTTTGTCAGGCAAGTGACTGGGTCATGTCCCCTCTCTGAGCCTCCTTGTAAAAGAGACAGCAATTTCTTCTCTGTTTTTGCCAACACTGGGAAGGCTCCAATTACATAGTCTGATTGTCATTAATCCCGTGATGGGAAATAAGACAGCTGTCCTGGGCACCTGGACGAGAGATTGAGGATGCTAAGGGGAGGTGACAGTGTCACACTGAGCCAGAGGAGCAGGGAGAAGGGATCCTGTCTTTTCGAAATCACATGCAAAAGAGACAGGCTCTTATCTTACTACGCTGATGGACAGTGACTGTAATGGGGTGTGGGTGGGGGACTTGGTGAAGGGGGGAGCCTAGTAAACATAATGTTCTTCATGTAATTGTAGATTAATGATAACAAAAAAAAAAAAAGAGAGAGAGACAGGCTCTTTCTGCCAGAGGCTGCGGCTGGGTGCAGCTGGCCACACCGGGTGGAGTTTCTGAGGCAGGAGCTGCGGCCTGGCTGGCCCCGGGAGGGGGCCAGGATGGGGCGGTGGGCGGGGAAGCAGGAGTGGACCTCTGCTGGCTGCCCTGAGGCTCGCCTCCATCCTAGCACTCTGGACACCTGCCAGTTCATACAGAGATGTTCCAGTCTTGTCCTTCCCCAGCTCACCCTGTCAAAGCCAAAGTCCCCAGGGTCGCCCCAAGGCCTCACACCTTTCTGATATCACCTTCTTGTTCCTTCTCCCACTTCCCGCCACCACAGCCCCCTCCACATCCTTGCCAGACCTCCACCACCGAGCACCCTCCTGCCCAGACCTTGGTACTTGCCGTCCCCCAAGCCAGAACACCCTTCCCGCAGATGTCTGCGTGGCATTTCTCCCTTGCCTTCAGGCCTCTGTTCGAATGCCACTTGTCACTGAGGCCCACCCTGGCCAGCCTATTAAAAACTGCCCCCTACCCTCTGCCCCCACCTTCCCAACTTAGTTTTTCTCCTTGCAAGGCTCACTGAAAGGTACACGTGCTTCTCTTCATTTCCCTACCGTTTCTAAGCCCTTGGCGTGGGCACAGGGGTGCTGTGTTCACTGCCTGGCACAGCAGTAGGCCTTAAGGAATCTTTAGTGGATGAGTAAATGACTGAATTTAATTAAGAATTATTCTTAATTAACAATTACTTTTCGCTACCACGTAACCTGAGTAACACGTTTCATTCTCATTTAATTCTCTCCACAGCCCAATGGGAGGGGAGGCCCTCCTGTCATCTTCATATTTTTGAATGGGGAAACAGCCCAGAGAAGTGCCTGGGTCACCCTACTCCTAAGGAGGCCAGCTGCTGGACTCCTACTCCAGTGCTCCTGGACCACAAGGGTGGTGGCCTCCCTCCCAGGCAAGCCCCTCCTTACCAAAGCAAAATAATTGGACGAAGAAATAGAGTTGGTTAAAAGCAAACATTTTTATATTATACATACACACGCATGCTGAATTCAGGACAACCGTGCCAGGTGTGGGCTGGTGACAGCTGCTGCCACCCCACGGAGTCTGCCCCTCCCCTCGAGCGTCCTGGTGAGCTGTGTCCCAGTCCAGACCGCTCTGGGGCTTGGGGCAAACCTGGAGGAGCCCATCAGACATGTAGGCTTCACCCCAGCCCTGCTTGCAGGCTTGCCGCCTCAGGGCAGCCTTACTTGACTGCAGAGCTGCACCCCAGGGGGCTGGGAGTGGAGGGGAGCTGCCCTGGGGTCAAGGCTGCATGCAGGGTTATGTTTGCTGAAGTGCCTGGGATGGTGACGCACGGAGGCATGAGATGACATTGTTTGCGAGGACAGGTGGTGTGGGTAAGGGCCACTAGGACCGTGGGGGTTGGGCCGGCTCCTCCCTATCCCCCATCCCTGGGAGTCACTGGCCCAAATGCTGCTGTCAACGACCGCACCCCTCAGTAGGGGTAGGGCGACACGTTGATGAGCAGGACGAAGACGTTTTGGTGGCGTGGCGCTGCGGCGCGCACAGTGAGCCGGTAGAGGCCAGAGCGGGTGAGCGCGCGGCGGGTGTAGACAGCGCCTTGGCCCGCACGCAGCCGGCGCAGCGCGAAAGGGCTGCGCGGGTCGGGCTCGAGCACGCTGAGCTCCGTGCGGTTGGCGGGGACGCCGGCCTCGGAGAAGGCGGCGAGGCGGGCCACGTCGTGGTGGGCGCGCACGCCCAGGGGCAGCGGGAGCAGCCTGTACTGCAGCGTGGAGGGGCCGCCCGTGCCGCAGTCCTGCGAGCAGCGCCGGAAGCATGTCCTGCGGGCGGGACAGACCCACCGACTCCTGGTTGCCACTGGAGTGGGACTGGCTGCATAAACCTGGCCTCACCACGGCACCCAAATGCCTCTACAGGCGCCACTGTGGGCCCACTTTAGAGATGAGAAAACAGGCCTGAAGAAGCCAGAGCAGGTTCCCCCAGCAGACTTGCCCAGACCATGCCCCGGGGCAGCCATAAAACCTCCCAGGTCCCCCCACCCCCACCAGCCCCCACACCCCCCACAACCACCCTAACCCAGAGCTGAGTCACAGTCGGGATTTGCATTGGTGTGGGGGCTTCAAAGATACACGCTCAGTCTTGCCAAGGGCATCCAGTACCCACCCCCCAGGTGGATGACAGCTACTGGGACAGGTCACCGCCCCAGGATACTTCCCCAAGCACTGCAGTGCCGCACATTGGCCAGGATCCCCATGTCTCTGTATGTTTATGAGTGTCTGTGGCCACACCGAGTGGGGAGGAAATGTGTTTTGTGCTTGTGTGCACATGTGTGTCTGAGTCCTGGGGTTTTGTGTGGGTTCCTGGGGGCATTTCTGAGCCTGTGTTGGCCCCGTGCCCTGTTTGTCTGCATGTATGCCTGTGTCCCCACGGACCCTGTGTGTGACTCTCTCCACCCCTGTCCAGGTCTCCCCCGACTCTGGCCTCTCCCAAGCCCAGTGCCCCATGCCCCAGCTGCAGTGCCCCCCCACTGCCGTGCGGTAAATGACAGCACCCAGGTGAGGTGAGCCCCGGGTGGCTGCAGGAAGATGTACTCCAGGGGGGCACGCTGCCCTGTGGGCACAGAGATCCTGCTCAGGAGTTCTGATGGGGTTCAGGCCCTGGCCCAGGAGGGCCTCACAGGAGCAGCCCCTGGCAGACAGGGTGCCCCAGCCCACTGACAAGCCGACTGAGCCCTTACCCTGGGCTGGAGCCCTGCCGGTAGGTGGCAGGACATGGCGTGTCCACACACTGGTAGCTGCCTCGGGTGTTGAAGCACATCTGGCTGGGCCCACACTCGATGCCATCCTCCACACACTCATTGACGTCTGGATGAGGAGGATGGCGGAGAGATGGTGGATAAAAAGACAAGCCAAGGTGAAGGGCCAAGGGCAGGAACCAGAGAAGCCGTGGGGCAGGGGGTTCAGTGGGAGAGAAATGCCTTCAGAGGACCAGTGAGGGGGCAGCCCCTCCTTTTGTCTCCAGCCAGCCTGACCCATGACAGCTCAGCCGGCAGGCCCCAGCATGTCCCGTCCCCAGGAGGGCACCCTGGGGGCCCTGAGCCTCCAGCTGGGTTGCAGAGCTTGGTTGGAATGAGGGCTGCCTTGGAGCCCAGAGTGCCCAGTGCCCGTGACCCCACTGCCTCAGTGGGGTCTGCCTCAGTGGAAGCCCCATTCTTCTCAGAGGGCATTCACTGCCCAGCTGACAGAGGAGGGACAGGGCGGGCACTTACAGAGGGCAGCAGCATGATGGGCCAAGCTGGGAGCATGTTAGGGAAAGGACTTCACCACCATCACCAGCATGGCTCTGTGCCCACCCTCCGCATATCTCATCCAGCCATTCAGGGGGGATGGTAGCCCCACTTCAGCAGGTCGAAGCTCAGAGAGGTGAAGCGACTTGCCCAGGGATACACAGCGGAGATTCAACAGACTCCCAGGGCTGCGCACACCATCTCCCAGCTCCTGCTTAGAGTGGGTTCTGGCTGGCTGTGGGCACCTGGGGCGGTCACTGAACCCCTCTGAACCTCACTGTCTCCCTGCTCCTCCCTCACATGGGATGGTGGAGAAGGGCCTTCCCATGAAGCCCTGCCCTGGCCCCTGGGCATCTGGGCGGGCAGCCTGCCCCCACGGCGGCTCACCTTGGCAGTTCTTCCCACTGGGGAGGAGGCGGTAGCCGGCGGGACAGAGGCACTGGTAGCTGCCCTCAGTGTTTTGGCAGGTGTGCTGGCACAGGTTCCTCACCCGGCACTCGTCCAGGTCTGGGCCAGCCCGGGGGTGGGGGCGGAGGCAGAGACACTGAGTCACAGACACCCAGGCGCCCAGCTCGGGGCAAGCCAGGAATGCTCTCCCCACGACGCCCCGCCCAGCCCTGGGTTTAGGGTTAGCAGAGACCCTGGGCCCAGTGAGAGTGGGAAACACCCCCCTGCCCACCTCACGGTGAATGCTGAAGCATGCCCATCCCCAAGGCTTCCCCCCATTCCCCTTTGCTGCCCAGCACAGGCCTCCACGGGGTTGGGGGCTGTCCCTGATCCCCCCAAGGCCCTGCTCATATTCTCATGTCACCCTGGAACATTCTCCTTCACTCCTGAAAATCTCCCTGACTGCTTCACCTCTGAACACCAAAAGGAGTGTTTCTCAAAGTGGGTTCTCAGGAACATTTGCCCAGAAGCCCTTATACCTCTGCACAAAGTGTCCTGAAGTCAAATGGTTTGGGAAATACTCCATCCCCCTCTTGGGAGCCCCTTGCGCATGAGCACAGCCAGGGCTCTGGGATGTGCAGCGAGGAGGTGACTGTCCGCCCACGCCACTCACCCCGCTTGCCCACCCACTGTGGGAGCCGAGACAGCACAGTGGGGCGTGTCCCTGACAGGAGGCCTGGGGCCGGGCCTTACCTGAGCAGACGCCATTCTGCCGGATGAAGCCAAGGGGGCACCAGGCCCGGCCTGCACCGCTCAGGGCTCCAAGGCCTGGCCGGAGGGAGACCCAGGCACGGTAGGAGCCGCTGGGGATGGGGGCACGGGGCCGCAGCCAGGGCATCAAGGGGCCCCGGTGGCTGATGGTGGTCACATTTTGTCCACTCCACTCCAGAAGGGTGCAGGTCCTGCCATCGCGAGAGAGGACCTGGCCCGGTGGGCACAGGCAGCGGTAGCTACCCTGCAGATTGTGGCACTGGTAGGCACAGGCCCTGGGCAGTTGGAGGCACTCGTTGATATCTGGAAGGGAGCAGGGTCCGGCAGGGTGGCTCAGGGCTTGCCACAGACTCCAGGGCGCCAGCAGCCTCTCTCGCTCTCAGACCTTCCCCGGAATCCAGCTGCCTCCCTGGCGGCGTGCAGGCCTGCCCCTGAGCTCCCCCCCGGGCCCCCCTAGACTCCTCTCCACCCAGCCTATTCTGCTCTCAGAGACCCCACCTCCCCGGCTCTGAGCCTCATCCAAGACTCTGCTGTCCCCTTCCTTCCCCGCCCTGGTGGGGCTCATGCTACCTGCTATGCCTCTCTGAGGTGCACCCGCCCCTCTCCACCCTCGTCCTCCTCCCGGCTCCCAGGGAGGGTGGGCTTGCTGGGCAGGGGTTGACCTTTGGTGTAACACAGCAGGCAAAGCTTGATCAGGCCCGTGCTGCAAGCACGTCAGTGGGCGCTGCTGTTCTGTTGTTCACAGAATTCCACACTGCCCTGGTCATAAATGCTCCCTGCCCAGGAGCTGGGGGTGCTGACCAGGGCCCCAGAGGGTCGGTGTTCCATACCTAGGCAGGGCAGGCCCGGGCCCTGGATCCGGTAGCCCCTGGGGCAGCCGCAGCGGTACCCGCCTGGAGTGTTCTCACAGATCTGGTTGTAGTGACACTCGTGCACCTGCTCCAGACACTCGTCCACATCTGGGAAGGCAGAGGCGGGGCTGAGCCCTCGCCCCCACCCCCAAGGCCGTGCCTCTCCACATTGGCGCCTCATTCCTGTCCCCTTCTCCAACCTGAGTGCCATCAGGTGGATGTCAACTTTGTAACTGCCCCTCCCAATTATACCAGGTAGGAAGGTTCTGGGTCTGAAGGAAAGAAGGGGCTTAAAAGGTCAGCTGTGCAGGCAAAGAGTCCTGAGTTTGGACTGAGCTCTGCTATATATCTTAGTCCTTGAACAAGAGGATTCCTCTCTGAGCCCCAGTTTTCTCATCTGTAAGGAGGGGTCAGGATAGGACCTCTTCAAGGGGTCATGGTGAGACAACTGGATCATGAATGTGAGGGGCTTAGGAGCCTGGCCCATGGGAATGCCCCCCACAAGCATGGGGAGAGGGGTGGGTAGGGCAGAAGGCAGGCAGGAAGCAGGAGAGTCCGGAGGATGGCCAGGGTCCTCAGAGGGCCACGAGGCCATGAAACAGGATGACCTCCTCTTCTGAGTTCAGGTTCCAGCACTTTCCCCTCCATTGCTGGCCTCTCTCTCGGAGCCAGGAGGGCCTGTGATCATGAAACTGTACAATGCCACAGCAGGAAGGACCTGGAGGTCACCCATTCAGTGGGTGGCACCTAGGTTTCATCTCGAAGGCCAACTGATTCACAGTGGCTGATGGAGACGCTGTGCTGAGGAGGACTCAGAGGCCGTCTCTAGGCTGGGCCATGAGCCACGAGGGGAAACAGGTGTTTGCCACCCCTGACCTGGTCCCCCTTCATGGGACAGATGAGAAACCTGAGCCCCAGAAAGGAAAGACACACTCTCAGGGCATTCAAGTCGCCAGCAGCCAGGCCAGGCCGGGCCTCAGACCTTCTGAGCTCAGGCTTTCTCCCTCCCTCTGCCACGAGGGTTCCAGTCGCCCTCAAGGCCCAGAGTCCCAGTGACACACAATATCCCCCCGTTGAACCTGGCAACCATTGGGTTCCCAGGAACAGCGCCAGCTCCACGCCATGCCCTGGTCACCTTCACAGCCGGCCCCGTCAGCAGCCACCCGGAAGCCAGGCCTGCAGTCCGGGAGGCAGTGGTAGGTCCCAAGCAGGTTCACACAGCGCTGTCCTTCTTGGCAAAGGTGGGCATCCCACGCACACTCATCCACATCTGGGGGACAGACAGGGGCAGGGGACTGCATGAACATGTGTCCCCCAGGCCCTCCTTGCCAGTTGGACCCTGGCCCAGCCTACCCATACAGGCTTTAGCCCTAGGCCCAGGATTCCCTGGCATGAAGGCCCCCACCCCTCCTGCTAGCTCTTTCTATCACCTCACTCCTTCCCCCATAGACACAGCCCACCCCAAGTGACCTGAGGGCCTTGGCCTGTGGCTTCTGATATAAGCTTTCAGACAGTGCCCCTTGGGTGCCCGGCTCGAAGCCCAGTCTGGAGCCTGGCAGTGGTAGGCCCCAGTGGTGGGGGTGGATGGATATAGACTGGGGGATGGGAGGCAGGGCCCTCATCTGGACCACGTTCCAGGGTCAGATCTGTCATCCAGCAATTTCATCAAGGGGACAAGGAGAACAAGTGGGGCAGGGGGGTGTCCACTCACTTCCGGCCCCAGTTGGCTGGAAGTGACTGCTGAGCTTCTGAGCCTTGTCCAGGCTTAGTAGGTATGAAGGCCATGGGCACATGAGGGCCACACGTAAGTCTTTGGGGATCCCTATGACCCCTGGTACTCGAGCCTCTCCCATCTGCTGCCTTCATAGGAAGTTCCCAGTGGAAACAAGGCATTGGAAACCTCCGGAATAGGCCGTCTCACAAGGTGTGTGCCCCTGGCAAGGGTCTTGGTCCCAGAACCCCTGCACACACCAGGGCCAGGTGCAAGGAGAGCCTCTCCTCCGGTGGCCCACTCACCTCTGCAGCTCCTGCCGTCCCTGGCCAGGGCGAAGCCAGCCGGACAGGAGCAGGAGAAGCGGCCAGGTGCATTGTGACAGGAGTGGGAGCAGGGGCTGGGGCCGTCAGAGCACTCATCCCTGTCTGGGGTGGGGGGCGAGGGAGATCTGGTGGTCTACACTCACAGACCCTCCTGACAGCTGGCTGGGACAGGTCGCCCACCCAGACTGAAGGGACTCCCCCATCCATGCCACCATGTGGGGAGGGCACTCACCCACACAAAACTCTCCCTGGGTGTCCAGCTCAAAGCCCTCTGGGCAGCTGTCTTCATTCTCTTCTGCAAGGCAAAGGGGACAGGCCCTTAGGACACTGGGGCACCTGAGCCCAAGGCACTGGGGACAGAGGGCAGCCCTGGCCACAGCCCAGGCTCCTAACTCCCTCCTGCAAGGTTGGTGAGGCCGAGGATCCCCTCAGCTGGGTACTCAGCCCCTCTTCTGAGCCAGGCCAAGGCCCAGTGAGTCAGCAAACTGGCTCCTAGCCTAGGGCCATTGGGGGCATGTCATGAGGGGCTCACCGTGGGCTGGCCAGACTACGCTGCAGACACAGGAGAAATCATTCAAGAAAAGGGCAAAGCCGGACAGCCATGTGTGCAAAACTGCCTCTTGCAAACCTACAGGGGTGAACCTGGCTACTGGCTGTACATGGAGGCCGTGCAGAATGCGTAAGTGATGGTATGTGATGGGGGCAGCAGGCCCATTGCAGGGGTGGGACAGACTGGGGTCTGGAGATGAGAAGGAGACCAGACTGCCTACACTACTGTGAGGACAGCACCCTGATAAAGCGGTCACTCGGGGCCAGGAGAGAGTTTCAGAGACAGCACCTCTGCAGGGCAGGGGCTGTCATGCCCATTTCACTGATGGGGACACTGAGGCTCAGAGAAGGCCAGGGAACTGCCCCCAGAGGTTCCACAGCCAGGAAGTGGGGAGGTTGGGTTTGCACCAAGGAGGGGTGTCACCTTAGCTTTCAGCCAGGTGCATCTGGGGCCCCTGGCAGGTTTTAAGCAGGAGCAGTCAGGGGAGGAGACAAGGATGGGGGCCTCACCAGCCTGCAGGGCTGTGGTGAGCTGGAAGCGCAGGGCCTCGGCCTTGGGGTCAAAGGCCGAGCTGATGCCTGAGGCATGCAGGTGCTGCACCAGCCGTGGCTGGGGGCCCTGGGCCACGTCATACTGGATGCTGTGGTTGCAGCGCAGCAGCCCCGGGAGGCTGTCTTGCAGGAAGCGCTGCGTGGAGCCCACAAAGAGCCGGCCGGGCCCCACCTGCACATATTGCTCCCGGAAGTCCTGGAGGAGGAGGAGGAGGAGAATATCTGGAATTTCAACTTCCAAAGGAGGTGGGATCCTCAGCCCCCAACCCCACTCCAGGGGGATGCTGGGGGTGGGAGCCTGGTGGGCCTTTCAGTTCTTCCTCCAACCAGCTTGGGGTGAGGGGACTTCCTGTTGGCGTTCTTATTTATGAAATGGGCAGAACACTGTCCCTGAGAGGCTGGGCCCACCGCGTCCTCCCACGCGGTGGCCAAGACACACCTGCCCCTGCCCCTGCCCCGGCTGGGTGTCAGGCAGGGACGGGGGCCTGGCTGCTAGGGTGTGGTGGGGATGGCACATCCCATTCTCAAACCCACCCCATCTGCATGCCCGGGGCTGGGCCCCCACCTGCACTTGAAGGTCTGCGTCAGCCAGGCTCTTGGGGACGACGCCACTGACCACCACATCGAGGAGCAGAAGGCCATCGGGATCCAGGCCGTGGGCCACCTGCGTCATCCTGAGCAGCTCCCCTGCAATCCATGCCCGCCCAGCCTGGAGTCACCACCACAAGGCAGGGGCCCTGGGCTCAGGCCTCACCCCCACCTGGCCTACCCATGAAGGAGACCCCCGCTCGCCTGTGGCAAACTCCACGTGTGACTCCTGCCGAAACCTGCCACCTGTCAGGGAGTGGCCATTCAGGGCATCTCCGCTCTCTCCGGCCAGGGTCCAGTAGATGGGGGCGATGGTGACCACGAGCACACGCATCAGAGGCCCTGGACAGGGCGGCACACAGTCAGGCTAGGGCTGGATCATGGGGGCAGCCATGCTTCTGCTCAAAGTCCCTCTGCGGATCCCTGTTGCCCCAGGAGAGCTCAGCCCCTACCTTTCACTGCCACGGATCAGAACCTGAGGACCTTGCAGGGTAGTTGTGAAAGATAACAAAATATATTTATACAAAGAAGTGCACGTCACTTGTTGCTATTCAACTCAGTGCAGCAACTCTGAAGGTCTACTGGTTCACCATGGAGGACTGCACAGACCAAAACCACACAGGTACTGGACTGAGTGAAAAATCCACCTGTCTCCTACCCTGTGGACACCTTCAGAGGAGCTTGAGTGAGAAAGGGCTGTTCCAAACCACCAACTTTGAAAAAAGAGCCAAAAATTTGCCCTGGACAATGGAATTGCAGACCTTCACAGGATGCCTGGTCCTCCTCTCAGGGTGGGTGGGGGGCAGACTTGGGCCAGGGACAGGAAACTTCTTGGGGCCCAGGGGTGGCTGAGCTTCTCAGCAAAACTGCTGGCTCAGAAGAGAGGTTCAAGAAGACCAGTGTTGAGAGCAGGACCCTCTCAACCTCTCAGCACCTCTGTGCCCACTCAGCAGACGCTGGTCCAGCCAGCCTCTATGGTCCTGCTCCTGACGCAGCCACGTCTGGGCAGCAGCTCACCTCATTTGCTCTCTGCTGACATCAGCCTGGAGTGACCCCCAGCCAAGCCCCTGACCCATCCCTGCCCAGCCTGGAGTCACCACAGGGGAGGGGCCCTGGGCTCAGGCCTCATACCCACCTGGCCCACCTGGGAAGGAGACCCCAGGTCTGTGGTCGAGGGCAGCACTGGGGAAGCTGTTTTCCACAAAGACCCCATCAGCACTGTCCTCTCCCTGAAGACCCCATGGGGGGATACAGGGCCTATTATGTCAGGGTCTGCAGTAGCTCTCCAGAACATTCTATTTGCTTAGGATAGACTATTTTGTGAATCTGTTTGAAAGAAGACATTTCTTGTTTCCCCGAGCCTTCTAGCTAATTGTATTTTCCACATTTCCCCCTTTCTGTCCCCTCCAGACCATGTTGATTCATCATTACAGGTGGACTCACCCCTTTTCTTCTAGTTCTTGCCACAACAGTGAAAAACACCTAACACAGCAATCAGTGGTTTCAGAAATCGTGAGCTGACCCTGCCTTCACATAACCTGATTCTTGCACACCCTCTCAGTCTGATTCTAACAGAGATTCCGTTTTGCATGGAGTTGCTGGGTTTCCTTTGGGAATCAGGCCCGAGCAAGCCTCTGAATGCAGACTTGGCCTCCACCTGGGTCTGGCATGGGCTGGAGGGTCCCCAGGAGCTGGCCCCCACTTACCCACACTTGTAGGGATGTGGCTGATGCTGCTCCGGATGGTGGTGACCCCAGACCGTGCCTCCTGTTGTACACTGGTGTTGAGGGTGGCCGCCCCAAGTTCATGGCCATTGATTACCCCGGTCATACTGCCCCGGCTCCCCCGGGGCTCCCCTGTGAGACAACAGTGACACTATCCACCTCTGTGCCCTCCAGGTAAGCAGCTATGAGCATCATTTGCATTTCACAAAGGAGTAACTGAGGCTCAGAGAGGCGAGTGAATCTGCATCAGGGCACATAGCTAATGGGTGATGGACTCAACGCCCAGGGGATCCGGGCTCTGGGAGAGAAGGGAGGATTGGAGAGGAGCTGTGGATGGCGCTGGCTTCTGGCTCTGCCATCACCTTCCTGGGAACCTGGGTAAGTCAGGCCCCCAAGCTGCACTCGAGTTGGCTTATCTCTAAAATGAGGAGGTAGGGATCACAGATAGTCCTGTTGGGTTCTAAAATGCCAGGAGCCCGTGGTGGTGGTGGTGGGGGCTGGCACGCTGGAGGAGCCTGCGCTGGGACTCACTGTGCCAGAACTGAATGCTGCCACCTGGACACCCCCCGTTCCTTCAGTGGCCCTGACTCCAGCCACCCTGCAGCTGCTCTGGTTGGGGTGGGTTTTCTAGCAGCCACCAGGCAGTCTGGAAGCAGACGCTCGTCAGCGCTAATCAAATGGATGCTGCAGGCACAGCAGGCCCTTCCTCTGGCTAATGGGGCAGCTGTCTCATTCGGATGGCATTCCAGGAGGCAAGAGCCAGCAGCCAGCTTGCATCTCTGCCCACCAGCTCTCAGGGGAAATTAACAACAAATTGCCCATGGTCTGTTGAAAAGATAACATGAAACACTCGACTGCCAGGATCCTAAGTGGGTAAATCAGGGGGCTGGTTAATTTTGGATTCCAGGAAGCAGGACCGTTTTCCTGCAGCCTCTAGATGGGATTTGATGCCATCTGGGATGTCTCTTGACAATATCTGCAGTTCTGGAGTTTATGAGACAGACAGGAGAAGGCCATGAACCTCTCCTGGCCTTGTAATAAGGGGATGAAGAAGGAGTCAGGAGCTGCAGATAGGAAGGAAGCAGCACGGCCCTGGCAGCTTCAGAAGGAGACAGGAAATTGGGGGCCAGCAACGATAAGCCACTGTTGACTTTCTCAGACACGGTATAACTCAGCAGCCTCTTGTCTCTCATAAGGCCAGTATGGTGCACCCCCTGGCCCCAGACTGCTGGGAAAGGAGAAAGACAAATTCACAGCTAGGGGACCTCAAAGGCTTTGAACACCTTTAGCAATGCCCCTTGAAGGAATTTATCCTACAGGAATATTCAGGTCAGCACACAGATATGTACCACAGTGTAGTTTTTGGAGGGGAAAGTGGGAAAAAAAAACCTGTTGCTTATTTCAGCCAATAACAGTTAAGTTTTAAAAATGTTCCTACGGAGTGAGAGAGAATGCAACCATTGAAGAAGATGACAATTTGGTTTATGGCAATGGGATGTTGTCCAAGAGAGAGTAGGGAAAAAGAAAACAATGTATCTCTTTACAGTCAGAGAAAAACACGTAGAAGGACATACTCCAAGTAACTGTCTCAACTATTTTGGGTAATTGCATTATTCGGGATAATTGGTAATGACTTTATTTTCACAGATTTTTCTAAATTATCTGGCCTTTCTACAATTAGTATATGGGAGGTTAAGGAAAGTAAGGAGGCTGTTATGGGCTGAATGTGTCTCCCTGAAAAGACGTGTTGAAGTCCTAATCCTCAGACCTCAGAGTGTGACCTTATTTGAAGACAGGGTCTGTACGGAGGTAATCAAGTGAACATGAGGGCATCAGGGGAGGGGGGGGGCCCTAACCTAGTGACTGGTGTCCTTATGTAAAGGAGAAATTAAGAGACAGACATGCACCAGAATGCCACATGAACATGAAGGCACAGATGGGGTGATGGTTCTACAAGCCAAGGAACCCCGCAAACAGCCAGCAAGCCAGCAGCGAGGGAGCTAGGGGAGAGCATGGAACAGATTCTCCATGACAGCCTCTCTAGGGAAGGAGCCGACCCTGCTGACACCCGGATCTTAGATTTCTAGCCTCCAGAAGTGCGGGACAATCCGTTTGTGTTGTCGGAGCCACCCCTCCGTGGCACTCATTTATGGCCACCCTAGGAAACTAATACAGAGGCCACGTTCAGAGCTCTGCTCAGACCTGAGACAGCACCTGTGGCTGGGTGTCAGAGAAGCACTGAATTTTTGGTGCTGTGTGCCTGAAGGAGGTGATGAGACTAGGGGCCAGTTTGTTGGCAGTGGGTTTCAAGTGGGTTTTCAAGTGGTAAAGTGTCAAGTACCAATTCTGATTAGTCCAGAGGCACTGCCTAGAGAAGTGTTCTCCAGAGAAGGAACAGGACGTTGTGGGCAGTGATAGATTAGGGATGCCTGCCGTGAACAGGGACGGGGTCAGAGACCCAAAGCCACAGACATGGGGTACTTACTACAGAAGCGCAGACAGAACACTCAGTGACTTGCCATTACGCTGCCTGCATCATTTTACTGTGGTTTTTCAGGAAAGCCTTTTCTCAGTTTTAAAGTTTGGTCTGACCCAAGGGAGAAGGGAACTAACTGATTGAGAAGACTTGAATGGCAGGCGCCAACAAGTGGGATCTGTTACTGTAGCGTCTTGGAGCCTCAGCTTCCCCAGTTGTAAGGGGCAGGGCAGGGCCCTCCCAGCCAGTTCCTTCTAAGTTTGTGACTTGAAGCAAAGAGAAGAGTTAGGAACTGGCAGGGCAGCGGGCCAGGCTGCCTACAAGCAGCACACAAATCCCCATTGGGCGCGAGATCCGCCTCTGTCCGTGAAGGTGTGAGTAGGGAGAGCCCGTACCTCTCACGGCCAGGAACGCCTGGGCTGTGGCAGAGCCCAGGAGGTTGTGAGCGACGCACTCATATGTGCCCGTGTCCCCAGCCTCCGCTCGCTGGAGCCACAGGCTCCCGTCAGGCAGGGTCCGGAGCCGCCGGCTGGCCTGCAAGGGCTGGCCGGCCCGCAGCCACTCCACTGTGGGCTCCGGCTCTCCTTTGGCCTGGCACTGCAGGGCCACATTGTCCCCAGATCTCACTGTCACGTCCTGGGGCTCCACTTGGAATACGGGGGCACCTGTGGGAGGCCCGAGGCAGCTTTTAGGAACATTTTCTTATTTTCATATATTCAAGCGGTACATACTCATTTAAACAGATTAGAAAATCCAGAGGCAGAAAGGAGAAAATAGAATCACAAATGATTTTCCTATTCCATTACCATTCCTGAGTTTTCCCTTCTAGATACAATTGATTTCCTTGTGGTAATGTGACCGTATTGCATTGAGCCACTTGCTTTACTTTTTTTTAATTCCACAACAAATCATAACCACTTTTCCATGCCATTAAAGATTCAATTTTACTGACTATTTGGTATTCCACTGTTTGGTCTACTACGATTTGCTTAGTCACGTCCCCATCGTCAGGACACTGACAGGGAGTTCCCGGCGAAGGAGTGCCTCTTGCCAGAACTGCCTCTACGTGATGCCACGTGACGTGGGCAGATGAGGGCTCTGTCACTGGGGACTGTTCTCACCAGGTCACTCCCTGACCCTCAGTTTTTGCATCTGAGAGATTTTAATTCCTGTCCACTCACAACTCCAGGCCCTTCAGGGTGGCTAAAATGAAAAAGAAGGAAGATGCCCAGTGCTGGTGAGGATGCTGGGCAAGCAGAATGCCCCCCTGCTGTGGGTAGAGCGGCCAACTGGCACAACCACTGAGGAAAAGAACTACTGAGGAAAGAGCCAGTGTGTACACTTTCTGTGGCTCCAGGGCAGAACCCATTTCCGGCCTCTTCCAGCTTCTGCCGGCTGCTCTCATTCCTTGGGAGTGGCTGGCCGCAGACAGAGGGAACTTTCTGGGGTGGTAGAAGCGTTCTAAAATGGATTGTAGCCATGGCTGTACAACACTATAAATATACTAAGAATCACTAACTACACATATAATGGGGGAGTTTTTTTCTCACTTTTAAAAAATTGTGGTAAAAAACATAACATTTACCACTTAAGCATTTTTACGTGTACAGTTCGATAAAGTACACTCACGCTGTCGTGCAACCATCCCCCATCCATCTCCAGCACGTTTTCATCTTGCATCTGAAGTTCTGTCCCCATTAAACACTGACTCCCCACTCCCACTCCCTCAACTCCTGACACCTGCCGTTCTCCTGTCTCTGAGTGTGACGGCTCTGGGGACCTCGCGTCAGTGGACCCCTGCAGTATTTGTCCTTGGTGGCTGGCTTGTTTCCCTGAGCATAATGTCCTCAAGGTGTCAGAATTTCCTTCCTTTAAGGCTGAGCAATATTCCATTGTATGAATGGATGAATTTTATGGTATATAAGTTATACCCTAATAACCCTTTTTTTTTAAAGGTAAAACTCTGGACAGTGATCACCTGGGGCGGGGTGGGGGGTAGTGAAAGGAAGCATGTGGGTACTGGGAGCATCAGAGAGCTGGTGTTGCTGTTTCTGATCTGGGTGCTGGTTACCTTGATGGGTTCCCGTTATGACAACTCACTGAGCTGTATGTACACCTGTGATGTGTGCTCTTCACCCCACGTGTGAATCTTCAATAAAAAGTCGTATTAAAAAGCCTAATTTAAACTATGTCCCAGGGCTAGTTTGAGGCTCAGCTTTGTAAACTCTTAAGCTGCTTGGCAGATGTAAGAACTGTCACTAGGATTTTGAGTTTTGAATAAGTGGCTGTCCCCAGGCCCAGCTCTTAGATCCCTGGGTATTCATTTGCCCCAACGCTGTTCTCCATTCCACATTTCAGGGGCTGGGGTGCATTTCATAGGACTTCAGTTGTGTTTTGATAAATATTTGTAAGAGAATTCCAAATCCCTGGCCCTACTCCTCTGCCCTCCATCTTAATCAGACAGCTGGGGCCGTACCAGCCATGGCTGCTGCCCAGACGCCCCCTGAGTGCCCACAGCACAGCGTCCCCACCCAGGGCCCAGAGAGGGGAGGACGAGACTCACTCTGCAGCACGAGCATCACCACTTTCTCCGTGGCACCCATCTCATTCTCCGCCAGACACTGGTACTGTCCTGCGTCATCCATCTGCAGCGGGCACAGGAGGAGCGCAAGGGGAACAGCTCCAGACGGCTGGGCATGGACGGGGTGACTGGCGCAAACACATCTAACCAGGAAGGAGCTTAGAGCATAAACCCAGCCCGGGGCTTGCACATTCCATCAGTAGCGCCTTGCGTCCACTTGTCAATTGGACATCCAAAGCGAATCTAGCCCCCTTTCACATGTGGAACTTGGGATGCCACTAAGGGTGTGGATTTGTTAGCCCAAGTGGAGCCGTGTGCTGCCAAGTGCAATTTAGAGCCAGCTCTTCCAAACTGTGTATGCTGAAGTATTATTGGTCTAAGGCACACTACCAGGGATTCCTTGAAAAAAAGGGTTCCATGATGGAATAAGTCTGAGTTGAGCAACAAGGTTCTGAGCTGCAGGACTTCTCAGGGCCTTTATTGTGCAAACGTGCCCTGCAAGTCTTCTGGAGGGAGGGGTTTGCAGCATCGTCCCAGCGTAGGTGAGAGGGACGCTTTCTTCCCAGGCTGCCCACACCCGGCACAGTGGTGCAGCTCAGGAAGGACGCAGACTCAGACTTACTGCGGAGTGGCAGTGCCACCATGAGATGGAGCTGGGGCACAGCCCAAGGCCTGTCCCCGCCCAGGAGATGATACCCTGGCGGCCACTCCCAAGGCACTGCCAGGGGGCAGCACAGCACATAGTTAAAAGCAGATTTGGGGGCCAGCCCAGGACGGGACCACATCCTGGCTCCACTGTTTACCATCCCGAACCCCTTGTGAGCACTGTTCCCTGTCCCTGGAGTGTGCTGTCTCCCCACCTCTGAATGGGGAGTAGCCATGGGGACTGTTGTGAGCCTTCAGCAAATCCTGCTCCTTAAGCGGGCACGGTGCCTGGCCCGCGCTTAACACTCAGGTACCAGCAGCTGCCATCTCCACTCTTGTTATGGCTGCTTCTGTGGCATTTCTAGTCCTGGCATTATTACTGCCTAGACACAGGCTCCCAGGTGGGCTGCCATCAAAGACCCTGGCGAAGAGCTCGACAGGGTGGAACTGTCCATTTCTGCATGACTACTGAGACCTGGACCCAGAGGGAAGGGGGGCGCGGGCTGTTCCAGGGCCCAGGGCTTTGGAAACAGCATAGACGAGAACTCAGCAAATCTGGGGTGGGGTCCTGCTTTGGGTGCTTACTGGCTATGGGCCTCTGAGCCTCAGTGTCTTCGTCTGTAAAATGGGGCACTCTTATCTGTCTAGTTTGTCCCATGGGGTTGTTAATAATATTTACTGGCATTACTGAGGGACCAGCCCCTCTTAAATACCTGGTATTTCTCATGATAAAGCTATGAGGTAGAAACAGTTATTAGCCCCATTGAATGGGTGGGTGACTGAGGCACAGAGGGAAGTCCCTGGCTGGAGGTCACCCTGGTTAGTGGGGGACTGTCTCTGGACAGTACTTTGTAGCCTGGAGAGAGTGGTGGCAACCTAGAACACTCCTACACAATCAGAAAAGGCCGAGGGTTATCCTGGGTGGCCCCACCCAAGGCACCAGACCCTGCCTTGCCTCGGTCCTGCGGATGGTCAGTGAGCCGTTCTGCAGCTGGTGTCGGAGGTGGGTGCTCCGCAATGGGAGGCCATCTTTGATCCAACGAATGTCAGGCGTTGGGTTTCCATGGACCACACAGTCCAGCCGGACGCTGCCCCCCACAGATTCCACCAGGTAGGAGAAGGCCTCCCCTTCTAGGACGGGAGCCTCTGCATGAGGTGACATCAAACAGAGGGTCAGAAAGGAGGCTCCCCTCAGGCTCAGCCTCCCATAAGGCCATCCCCAAAGGCCTGCCTGCCAGATCCCAGGGACCTACTGGCCCAGCATGGTTGTATACAGTTGATGTAACAGGGATGACAAAAAGCTTCCATGTGTGGGTCAAGTGAAATCGACTGACAGCGACTGCCAAGAACACCGCTGAGGATTTGAAGCTGAATGAGAATGGTGCTGTGATGGATTACTGATGCCTGAGACAGGCACCGGTGGGAGGGCAGTGTTCCGAGCGTCATATACTCACTCTCATAGACAGATTACCCCAGCTGCCGAGTACCTGCCAGGGACTTAGGATCAAGGACGTTGTGATCATCAGGACAGCTTGGTTGGTCACAGCAACTAAGACACCCTGGTCCTCATAATCACTTCTTGGATGCCCTGTGCTGGTTTCATGAGAGTTGAATCTACCAACAGCTGCTGCCGTGTCCTGGTGCCTTGGGCTGCTCATTCTCCATCAAGCCCTACCCCCCCATCCTGAAGTTGAGCAAACTAGATCATCGTGTCACCGAGGGTTACTGCGCTGCTCCTGGCCAAGCAGGGCTATGGGGCACAGTGGGTAGGCTGCCAAGCTTCACCCATTTTTCTGCCACAGTACCCTGGCCTCATGCCCTCCTCCCACACTGGCATCATCCAGCTGCAGGCCAATTATTGGATCTCAAGTCTACCCACAGCCAAGCCATCTGGGGAGTATAAAGAATATTGATGCTGGAGTCCCACCCCAGAGAGGCTGATTTACCGAGTTGGAGGTGGAACCCCTGGGCCTCAGTATTTTATAAAGCCCCTCAGGGGACCCTAATGTACAGCCTGGGTGGAGAATTACTAGTGCAGAGGTCAGGAGGCTGACTTCTTAGAAAATAGATTGGTTTCAGTAGATGGGTCCAGCTGGTTCTAATAGACTGAGGTCTTGAGAAAGGCCACATGGCTCACACCCTACCCTTCACGTGGATGAAGCTGACTGTCTGCACGCGGCCCACTCTGTTCTCCGCCCAGCAGACATAGGTCCCGCTGTCCTCTCTGGTGACGGCCACCCGCTGCAGTGTGCTGCCCCCGTCCTGTTCAGATACCCCTTCTGTGGTAGAAACAGAGATGCCCGGGGGTCTCTGAGCCCAGAGTGCTAGGACCCGCCTGCCCTGTTACTTCATTCAGGCCTGTATCCCCAGCAGGTGTTCAATATGTTCAATAAAGGCACAGAAAACAGGTGTCCCTTCTCACGTGGGGTCAGGTCCCTTCATGGAACCACAGGTCACGTCAGAGGATGTGCTGTAGAAGCTCTTTTACCAATTTCAGGTCCATGCTATGAGCTTGGTAAGTGGTCAAGGGGGGCCTCTGGGGGCCTATTAACATGTGCCTCCTGCATTAAACCATTCCAGCCTCAGAACCCCTCAGTATCTCCACTCTCCACTTTAAGATGAAGAACCTGGGCTCAGAGAGGCAGCATCCCTTGCTGAGCCCCCTGCCCAGGAAGTGGTGGGGTCGAGGCAAAGCCTTCTTCCCAGGTGTGCGAAGATGGCTTCTGCACACATTTCATGGCACCTGTACTCAGGTTTAGGAAGGTCGGGAAACGTCACTTTGCAGTGGAGGGGCTTAGCAATTCATCAATTCAGCAGATATTTATTGAGCACCTATGATATGCCCAGGGCCCTGGGCAGGCCTTGTGCCCCTGCAAACATCACATGGGCACCAGGTAGGAGGACAGATCCCCCCAGGGAGTTTGTCCAGGGGCCCACATGGAGCAGCCGTGCTGGCCTGGAACACAGGCCCTCCTGGCCCTGAGGCCTCTGGGGTGGAGTCTTTTTCACATGTGGCTTCCTGCCAGGTCTGGCTCATGTGTGATCACATGTGGCCACATGTGAGTTTGCCCTATACCCCGGCACAGGCCACGTCTGGAGACCCAGAATCCACAGGACTGCCTGACTTGCCCTTCCTCTGTGGTAGGCTGGGGGTCCCTACTTGCTCCCCCTTCTCCACGCCCTCCCTCTGGAGCCCCAGGTCTCCATCCACCCGCTCCCAGCAGGTCCAGACCTGTGACTGGCCGGTCGTTGATGGTCCAGCCAATGCGGGGGGTGGGGCTGCCCCGGGCAGCACAACGAAGCCACAGCCTGTCCCCAAGGTGTAGGCTTCGGTCCCCAGGCAGGGTGGTGAAGACGGGCAGCGCCAGGATGGTGAGGTGCGTGCGGCGGCGGGCGCGGCCCACAGGGTTCTCAGCCGTGCAGATGTAGGTTCCAGCATCCCGTCTCTGCGAGCACAGGGAAGGGCCGACCTGAGGCATGCCCCACCCCAGCCTGGGCCACAGTGCTCCTGGGACCCATTCGCCTGCAGGTTCCCATGAAGTATCCAGCCCTGAGAGGCCAGGTGACTTGCTCAAGGTCACACAGCTAGTAAACGGTTCCACCGCACCACTGCTCCGTGCCCCTCCCTGCAGCCTTCACCTGGCTCTGCACCTTCATAATCAAAGCCCCGACTACATGATGGCAACAGTTACCGCTCACTGGGTGCTGACTATGTGCCAGGCCCTGTGCTCTGAACTTGACCTGCACCCGCTCACCCACGCTCCCATCATTCCTGGGGTGGGTCCTACTTTTGGCATCTTTAGGGATAGGGCCCAGCTGAGCTCCAAAAGTTCCATGGCGCTTCGGAGCAGGGCTGGTGCTCTCGCCACTGCACTATCGGGCTCCCTGTGTGGCAAGGCCTGGGGACACTGTGACCCCTTCCCTCTTCCAGGTGCACCCAGTGAGCCACCACCCATCCATCAGGGGAGCACCCATTCTGTAATTATAGAATCTCATAAACGCTGATGGGTGCAGGGGGTCAGGGATCCCACCCACACCCCTGGCTCAGGCCAACATCACAGCATGGTTGAGAACTAGGTACAGTTTGGGGACACAAAGTCACGCCCCACTTCTACCCCAACCCCATCCAGGGCTCCCTCCCACCCTCAGGAAATAGCCATGGAGGTTCAGGTTCAAATCTTGGCTCTGCCTCTTGGCAACAGTGTGTCTTGGGAAAACTGGGTACACACTGAGCTTCAGTTTCCTCATATGTAGTCAGGGATGAAATACCTATTTTTCCAGGTTCCTGGGATTAAAAATTGCATGGTGCTGAGCACAGAGTGTGACAACAGATGTTTGCTGTTCCAATTGCTGTTCCTCTCTGTGCTCTGTGGGGCCAGGACCCTCACCTCTGAGTTCTTAACCAGCAGCTCCCCGGAAGGCAGGACGGTAAACTTCCCCACAGCTCCAGACACAGGCTGGCCATCTTTTTCCCAGGTGATGTGGGGCTCAGGACTGCCTCTGGCCGTGCAGGGCAGGAGGGCGTGGGTGCCCTCAGTGGCGGACAGGTCAGGGAGGCCAGTCTCAATTGAGGGCGGGACTGTGGGCAGAGGGAGGTCCACTTAGGGACTGGGGCTGGGCTGGGGTGGGCTGCCCCTTCCCCAATGACTACGCACATCCCTCAGCCCCTCCTCCACCCCTTCCTGCTGCCCCCACCAAGTCCCTGGTCATTGCCCATGGTCTGGACAATCTGGGGCCCCTGAGTTTGGTGAAGCTGTCACACGACCCCATTGCACACTCATGCACACACAATGACTAAAGGGACAGAAATAGCTATTGTTACTAGAAAGCCAACATGAATGAGGATGACCAGACTAGTGTCCACGAGCAGCCAGAGGAGTTACTGTCTGAAGCTAGACCTTGGTGCAAAATGGGACACGTTTTCCTTCGATTCTTTCTAGAGGGCAAGCCATGCTGGGGTAGGGAAGGATGCAGGGATGTGCCTCCCAGGGACCAGAGCCAGCCAGAGAAGGGAGTGGCTCTCAGGAGCCTCAGAGCTCCTAGCTCTCTGGGGCCCACCTTGCACCACCAGCCTCGTTTTCCCCACAGCACTGCCCACACTGTTTTGGGCAATGCAGAAATAGTTGCCGGCATCCTCTGGGCTGGCATGGATAATCCGCAGCTGTCCGCTGGCTAGGACCTGCATGCTCAGTCCTGGACCTGGTGGGAGGAAATCAGGAGTCAGTGGCTGGGGCAGCAGGACCCCTGAGGAGGGCAGGACCCCTGGGTTGTTCTGCCTGACCAGGGAGCAAGTGACTCCTTGTGGTCACAGGGTGAGGGGGGAACAGAGTGAGCATGGAAGTCGGACGCTCAGCCCAGGCTCCCCAACCCCCCAACTCAGCCACCGAGGGCTCAAGTAGATCTTGGACCCTGGGTGGTGAACAGAGACAGGAGGGCAGGAGGTGAGCAGGGCCAGGGCCTTCTGGGACCTTCTGGTAGGTGTGCTGAGGCCCACGGGGCAGGATGGAGGAAGCCAGGTGCACACCGTTCCGCTCCCTCTGTCCCCGGGGACTCGCCGAGGGGACTCACCTGCAGGGACGCTGAGCCCCTCCTTCTGCCAGGTGATGCTTGGCCGGGGAAGGCCTGAGGCCTCGCAAGGCAGTCGCACCTCTTCTGCCACGACCACCCGAACCACACTGGGCAGTGGTTTCACCACGGGGGCAGCTGCAGAGGAACAGGCTGCAGAGGTCCCTGGGGACCCTGTGACACCCGGGTTCCTCTGCACAGGGGGCCTCTAAGCACCCGAGAGAGAGAGGCCTCTACAGGGAACTCAGCCCGACACAGGAGGGCTGATTCTGTTCTCCCCAGGAGTCCCCTCAGGGAGAGATCGGAGGCTGGTAGGGGCGTCTGGAACCCGGGGTCCTCACCTCCCTCGCCAGCCCCAAGCGCCTCTAGCTCTCCACGCACTCCTGTGCCCCAGAGGCCAGGGCTGTCTGGGGGGACCCTTACCTTGCACAGTGAGGACCACCTGCTTGTGGGCCATGCCCACGGAGTTGCGGGCTGTGCAGGTGTAGCGCCCAGTGTGGATGGGGAGGGCCTGCCCAATCTCCAGGGCTCCTGAGGGTGGGATGGGGCACAGGGAGGTTGAGAGGGTCTGGAACAGAGCCATCCGGGTCTCACAGCCCCTACGCTGGTGTCTCTGTTGCAGGCCACTCCGGCTGCCTCCTGCCCACTGTAAGCAGCATGGATAGGGGGAGGGAGGGGGACCAGGGTTCTAGGCCTGCCTCTGGTCCCTGTCCAGAGCACAACCATGGGCAAGTCCCTTCCACTTTCTGAGACTCAGTTTCCCCATGTATACAAAGAGGAATCATATAGGATGGTCTCTAGATCCTTCCGGCTGTGATGTTTCAGAATCTGCCACTGCCCTGCCTAGGATCCCTGACCTACCCGTAGTTCTACAGGCCCTTACCCTGCTAGCCTTGCCATGCTCTGCTGAAAACTTGCCTCCTCCAGGAAGCCTTCCTGGATGCCTGCCTCCTCTGTCCTCCCTTTTTCCTCTCTCCCTTAGCCCTGGGTGCTCAGGGAACACCATTTTAACCTTCCCAGACCACAGGCTGCACCTCAGTCATCAACTAAGGTGGTTTCTCGACTGTCCTCGGTGGACCCCTGAGGGCTGGCTGAGTGGGCAGGGCTGCGAAGCCTGCTGGACTGGACACCCTGCAGCCTCGCCCCAGGCCCAGATGGAACCAGGCGCCTGGCTTCTTTCACCAGGTGGGCTTCCCCGTAACGACCGATCAGAAGGAAGGGCTTCTATTGCTTTGGAAGAGTTTGAAAAACACAGACTGGCCTTGGTTCCTAGACTTGAGGATTTCACCAACAACAAATACAGCTAATTTGGAGAATCCCCATAAAGCTGACAACTTTTCATTTTGACAAGCAAAGACATTTCAAAACTCACTATCTACTCTCACCTTAATTTCACGGAAGAAAGGAAGTTTCAACACCACGCATTAAGAGAAAAGTAATTTCAGAATAAAGGACAATTCTAATGAGGTAAGCCTAGTTTTACGAAAACTTGTATGTAGCTATTTTTCCCATTTTGCCATGAAGCAGCACTGATTTGCCTACTAGCATCAGGGAACCACTGATGGAAATCAAGACCCTAGCGCACAGGTGGGGATCCTAAGGCACAGAGGGGGTGAGGGGGTTCTCCCAGGTCACACAGCAGGAAATGGCAGAGCCAGGCTGTACCGCCCGTCTTGCTGCATGACGCGGCCCCAACGGAAAGCTTTCACTTCCGCCAAGTCTCCCAGTGTCCCCCTCATGTACCTGAAGATGAGACACGATAGCCGCTCCCTCGCACCCCCAGCTGGGTACCCGCCTTGCTCCAGGACACGACGGGGGCCGGCACGCCCGTGCTGTGGCAGGTGAGGACCACAGGTGCCATCTTGGTCACAGTGAAGTCTGTCTGGTCGTCAGCGATGGTGGGAGGCACTGAAATGCAAGCCAAGGCTGGAGGCCCCACTGACATCCCCTGGGGACACACGCCACGGGCCAGGTAGATGAGGACTATGCACAGAGTCTGACCCAAGGTGATGTCAGTGATGACGGGCTGGGGAGGGAGTTGCAACAGAGAGGGAAGTCACATCCACTTACTCAGGAAACATCTTCTGCTGGGCTTGGGGGACAGTGTGGACTGCTTTCTTCAGAGATGCCAGCCAAGTATTTCAGGGAATGTTTCAAAGAGAAGGGACCTTGGCAGGAGCTCACAGTGGGAGAGGCCAGAGGCCTCTGGGGGAAGTGGCATTTAATCTGAGATCTGAAGCAACACCAGGTGTTGGCTGGGTGAAGGGTGCAGGGAAGAGTGTTTGTGGCAGAGGGAACAGCATGTGTAAAGGCCCCAAGGTGAGGAACAAAAAGCTAAGCTATGCAGCTGGGTCCCAGAGTAAGGCAGACCATGGGGTGAGCTGGCCCTGGGGTACTGGCTGGGTCACCCCACACAGGACCTTGTGGGCCCAGGTGACACCTTGCATTCTGTCCTGGGGGCAGCAGGCAGCCGAGGAGGGAGGGATTTTAACCAGGGTGATGGCAACGCCCCATTTGGGTTTAGAACATTCCGGATTAGGGAGAGGCCTCTCTTGTAAGTTCCCCCACGCCAGGAACAGTGCTGGGGCCAGGGTTATGTCAGTGTGGTGAGGACGGGATTGGAGAGGGCTTCCTGGAGAAGGTGGCTCCCAAAGCACAGGAAGGCAGAGGCCCTGGAGGCAGAGAGAGCACCCAGGAGAGGGAGGCGCTGTCCCAGCCTGGCTTCCTGATTCTCCTCCTGCCCAACTCACCATGGACGGTCACCCTGTAGAGCCTGCGGGCCTCGCCCACCTCATTGCTCGCCACACACTCAAACTGGGCTGAGTCCTGGGGGCCGGGGGCTGTGAGGAGCAGGGCGTCGGAGGGCAGGAGCCTGGGATGGACAAACAGACCCGTGGCCACTAAGTGACTGGCCTGGCTCATATAACACAATGAAAAGTTCCAAGGTGGCCTGGCGCTTAGCCTGTGACCTCCCTGCACAGCCATCTGGATGGCAGCGGGGTGAGGTGAGTGTCTCACTACCATTTCCCCTTCCCTTATCTGGACCCCATCCCTGATTCTAGAAGTTTCTCCTTGAAGTTTCTGCAAAGATCTAGCTGTTGAGCTTGTAGGTAATTGTAATTTTAATTCCTATGTGTCTCTACAACCCTGCATATTGTCTATAATACCCTCTACAATAATTTCTATAATAATAACCATATCAAATCTTTGATCAGAACAGCTTGTGTTTACTGAGCATCTACTTTAAATATAAAGCTCCACGGTGACCTGGCACTTCACACAACAAAACTATAGTCAGTTAATTGTCAGTGAATTGACTGTTTTAGGCTCCCAGGGATCATTTCATGATCAGTTGCATTTGAGATGTGGGGAGACTGGCCTTGCAAGAACCAAGTATCCAGGCTTAGCCAAACCCAGGCCTCCACGCATTGATCATTGTTAAACAAACAGTGGCTATAATGGTGTTAAAGACTACACATTTCTGTTTCGCTCTAAGTCCCAGATGTCCCCAGCCCTTGCCAGGCACCTTAATGGAAAACCCTCCTGGCCCCCACGGCTGGGATACCAGTTCTGGCGCTGGCTTTGCGAGGCCCCAAGCACATGCCTGAGTCTTCCGGACCCGGCTTCAGCTCTGCAGGACAGGTAAGCCCTTCTCCACCCCAAGCCTCTCCTGATGCCACCAGAAGGACCAGCTCAGTACCTGTAGGCACCCTGCTGCAAGCGGAAGTCCAGCTTCTGTCTGTCCTTCCACCAGACCACGCGGGGCCTGGGGGAGCCGCTGGCCTCACAGGGAAGCAAGGCGGGGGTGTGGGCAGTCAGGGTCAGGTTGGAGGGGCTGGGGGCAATGGCTGGAGGCTCTGGGGAGAGAGCAGCCATCAGCAGACAGGTGCAGGATGGGGGCAGGACCATCCTTCCACCTTCAACCCATCCCTTCAGAGGAGGGGAGAGGAGGCTGAGAAACTCTCTGAGGGAATCTTCCAACAGGCTCTAGAATCTGGGGTCTTTGCTCGCCCCTGAAGCTGGCAGCCCCTGGATGGGGCATCCAGGAAGTAACTCCCCATCAGCCCTTCCCAAGGCCACAGGAAGTGGGCCCCAGTGGGGGGATCAGTTGGAGGGAAGAGCAGATTAGGACACCTGGCAGTGATTCTGAATCTTACCCTCTCAAACATCTTTCATCTTATGCATACTCACTCCATATGATAGGACAGCAGAAAGTGTATGTAATATATGCATAATAATAAATATGCGCCCATTGAGTGTGTGTGCTCAAAGCTTTTTATTAATGGGCTTCGTGATCAAAATATTTAGAGACCATCACTCTTGGCTCCTGACAGCTGGGATGACCAAGAAACTAAGCAGGACCGGCCCAGATGGGGGATGGATGCTGAAGGCAAGGAGCAGGCCCTCTTTTGTCCACCTACCAAAGACTTGGAGCTCACGGCCCTGTCGATCGGAGCCCGCAGAGTTGGATGCCAGGCAGAAGTAGTGGCCAGCATCCTGGACAAGGACTGGCTGGATCCTCAGGGAACCCTCGGGCAGAACCTGCAACCTGGAACAGAGGGAGGGATGCCCTGGAGACCAGTACACCACTGAGACCCTGGACCTCTGGTGGTGTCTCCAGCAAAACCCTTCTCTCTGCCCCAGGATTTCCCAGCAACGGGGTGCTAACTCTGGAGCTCCGTATCCATAAGGCCAAGGTCAGGGGGTGTTATGGCCATGGTGAGCAGTTTCCCACACCCTAACGCAGCATCGGAAAGAGGGGGTCCTGCCTGCTCCCACCTGCACCCAGCCTCTCCCCAAGGGTCAGCAGGCAGCGGCGTCCCCACCTCTTCTGAGAAGTGCCCCATCCCAAGGGATGCATCTTGACTGTGTACCACCGCCCCCCGGCCACAGCCAGTTGGACGGGGGATGGACAGGTCTCTTAGGCTGGACCAATGGAATTCTCTGCCTTAAGGATTCAGTCAGTTCTCTAGGCTCTGCATGTTGCTTGAACTGAGGAGCTGACATTGGGGGGTTAGGGAGGAGGCCAGGGGAACTGTCTCTGCCACGTTCAGAGAAAGAAGGTATAGAAAGTTGGTCTGAAAGAGAGAGAGGCATGCAGCGCACTCTGACCCCCACCCCGCACACACACCCAGAAACAGAGATTCACAACCGCGGGCCCAAACCAGACAGAAAGACAGACCGTGGGCATGCCTGTCCTTGGGTTCTGAGGACACTCGTGTCCTGGTGATACAGTCACCTTTCTGCTCCAACAGCCTGGGTGTGTTTCTGCTTATAACCTGCCAAAAGGTACTTGAGACCCTCCCCCTCCCAGCGCCCACCTGGGGCTCCCAGCATCCACGGGGACCCCGTCCTTCTGCCAGCTCACAAGGGGCAGTGGGGCCCCGTCCGCCTGGCAGGGCAGCAGGGCCGTCTGGCTCACGGAGGCATTCACTGCAGGTGGTCCCGGCCGGATGGTGGGCACCGCTGGAGGAGGAGCACAGAGGGAGCAGGTGTGGGAGCCGCGGTGCTGAGCAGGGCGCAGGGCGCAGGGCGCAGGGCACGGCAGGGCGGGGCGGGGCGCTCACTGTGGATCTCCACGCGGAAGGCCACACTGGTGCTGCCTGCGGCATTGCGGGCTGTGCAGCTGTAGTCGCCGCTGTCGGCTGTGCTCAGGGCCTGCAGCTGGAGGAACCTGCCTTGGTCTGGGAACTGGGTGTGGGTGTCCGCCTGTAGAGCAACACCCCCCGGGGGGTGGAGAGGCCCACATCAGTGCTGGGCCCTCCCAGGCAGCCCCCAGGCACCAGTCAAGGAGCCCTAGGAAACCCATGGAGGCAGACAAAGGTCTCTGCTCTGTTCTGGGCTGGCCTGCTGTCCCTGTCTTGACCCCCAACTGAGGACCTTCCCAGGAAATCAGCTCTGACAGGGGGAGTGGGCACCCTGCCCCTGGGGCTCTGCCTGTCGGAGATGTTTCAGAGGGGCCCTGTGCTCAGACTGGGGACTGGAGCTTCTGCCGGAAGACCGACCATCCTTGGGTCCACAGCAGCAAATTGGTCCCATTTCAGGGCTGAGCAGAGAAGCGCAGTGACTAGCCCTGGGTAACACAGCCACTAAGTATTGTTCGAGGGTGTAATGCGGAGAACACAGAGACACATCAGAAGCCCTGGGTACAAATCTTAGCCCTGCCTCAGTGTACCCATCCATAATATGGGGGTGACAGGAATCATAGGGGTGGAGAATATCAGGAGAGTGGGTATGTAAAGTGCTGGTACAGAGCAGGCCTTCAGCACCTGGGACCCAGTCCAGTCAGGGTCTGGGGCCTGAGAGGAACAGAAGGCCTGGGACCCACCTGCAGCAGGATGCCATCTCGGTGCCACTCGATCTCAGGCGCTGGCTCTGCTTCCACTGAGCACTCCAGAACCAGCTGCCCCGGGGCCAGGCCAACCACAGAGCGGGGGCCTCGGGGCCCAATGACATGTGGGGGGGCTACATGGGGGCACAGAGGGTATGAGAAGTGGGCCTGCCCTGCAGGGCCCATCCCACCTCCATCTCTGGCCCCAATCCTGGCACCCCCTACCTTGAACTCTGACCCGGAAGCTCTTTTCGACTTGGCCAGCAGGACTCTGGGCCAGACAAGTGTATAGCCCAGCATCACCCACCTGGGGATGGAGCGGGGTGAGCAGCTGCCTCTGGCCTCAGCCTGCCCACCTCCTGATCTGGTTTCCTTCCCATGTAACTAAGGACCGAGGGTTCAGACTCAGGCCTGCTGAGCTGGCCATCCTGCCTTTCCAGGCAACACATTCCCCTCTAGGATGTTTCTTCTCTATCTCTGTCTCACCCGTACTTTAGGGCTAGGGTCAAGCCTGCTTCCTCCAGGAAGGCCCCCACACCCAACCCCACTGCCCTTCGGCACCAGCCCTCTCTGGCCAGGCTGGGGGAGGGGTTGTCTGGTTTCTGCGTCAGCTTTGGCTCGTTCCCTGCTGGGAGCTCCTGAGGGCATGGCCCAGGTGGGACACCTCCATGTGCCCACCCAACACAGAGGAGGAGCTTGGCCAACTTTGCCAAGTGCCACTGGGCCCCCCCCTCCCCACCGCCAGCCTCCTCCCACAGCAGCGGGGCAGGAGCACCTGCACGCCCTCCACCCGGAGGGCCTGCCCGGCCCTGTTGCTGTCCTCAGGCCTGCTCAGGGCTTGCCCGTCTTTATGCCAGGTGATGTTGGGTTGGGGGGTGCCCTGGGCATCGCAGTGGAGCTCCAAGGGTGTGCCAGGGGTCAGTGACAGCTCTGCAGTCTGGTCCGAGTCCTCGATATGGGGGGGATCTGCAAGACACCCCACCCTGGCTTAGCCATAGGTCATCCCGTCTCCACCATCCAGACACTGACAGCAGAGGGGACCACAGATAGGCAGGTGGGACCTGTATTATAGGTCGGAAACCATGGCTACATCTGCTGGGGACAATCATTTGTGCTTTAAAACCAACAAGGACACAGTACAGAGGGGGACACACAGTTGACACAAATCTCGCCAACACTGCACTGCACTGGTAAAATCTTGTGCTTGAGGCTTAGACTGCCCCAGATTTCAGGGGCTCTTGCCCTTTACAAGGTTTGGGGGACAAGACCAGGGTGTATGGCCCCAGTAGAATGGCCCACAGCAAGGGAGCTGGACCTCGGTCCCCCAGCCCTGTACCCTGGCGGCAGCCCCAGGCCTCCAGGGACACCCCCACCCCACTCCATCCTAGGCATTGCCCCCACACCCCGCACTCCCTGCCCCAGTCTAGAGAAGCTGGTGCAGGAGGCAGATGACCCACCCATCACCGTCAGCCGGAACTGCCTCCTCGCTTCCCCCGCCTCGCTCACGGCCACGCAGGAGTAGGTGCCCGAGTCACCAGCTCCCACCGTCTGCAGCTGCAGGCTGGGCCCCTGTTCGAGGCCCTGGAACAAGGGTTCACCATCCTTCATCCACGACACTCGGGGCGGGGGGCTGCCCTGGGCTTCACAGGGGAGGACCACCGGGGAGCCCCGGACCACTGCCACGTCATTCTGGAACTCCACGGGCTCCAGGACTGGGGGCACTGGGTAGGGCAGAAGTGGGCAGAAGTTATTTCATTCCGTGCCAGGTGGCCCTCACCCCTGGCCCTTTTTACTGCTCCTACTGGACAGAATGCCCTGCTCCAGGATGAGTCCTTCTCATCTCCAGTCCTCAACTTAGACTGGACCTCCTCCAGGAAGCCTTCCCTGAACCCCTAAGGCCAGGAGAGGTGGCCCCTCTGTTTTCCCACGGCACCTTCCCAGTCCATTATCACTAGTCCCTTGGCATTGTGATCCCCCCTTCACAGAGCTACTGACTTCCTGGTGCCTGGTGCCAGGGGCCACCTCTGCTCACTGCCAGACCCTGGTGCCTGGATGCACCAGTGCTCAGTGGCTACTTATGAGATGAACGAATGGGCAATCAAATGAATCAAGGACTGAGTTGCTGAGTTTGCCCACAGGAGCTGTGCTTCTCATGCCCTAAAGCCAAAGGGCCCGTGGATTCCACCCCGTGCTCCGTACCATGCACCTGCAAGGTGAAGTTTCTGTCAGCCACGCCAGCTGGGCTTGCAGCCACACAGGCGAAGATGCCAGAATCTGCCAACTGCACCTGGGAGATCCTGAACCCCTCGAGAGCAGGGAGAGAAAAGGGGGCAGGCTTGGGGGAAACAGTCCCTCTCTTTTCCATCCTGTCTCCCAATGGCTTGCCAGCCAGAGGGGTATAGCTCTGAAACTCACACAGGAATGGGGCCAGCCTCTGATTAAATCCCTCTCCTGGTTCCTGGTGCCCCCAGAATAAAGCCCCGGCCTTCCTGCTTCCTCGGTTCTGGAGCCTCCGCTGTCCCAGCCAGGACAGTGTGCCTGCCTCCAGGACTCCCCGGACTCCTCCCCGCTCACTGGCTACTGTCCGCGCCCTGTGCTTTCTCTCGAAGCCCCTTTCACCACAACCACGAGGGACAGCACACTCCCCTGAGTCTCCTCCTACCCGCCAGCCCCTCCCCCTTTGCTGGAACCCTCAGACCTGCCCTCCTAACACTAGCAGCTGTGGGCACATCTGCACTTGCTCTTCGGGGGACTGCAGCCAGTCCAGGCTGTTTGCTGATGGTCCCCAAAAGTCTATCTCTTCGGACTCCTGAGCGGCATAGCAAATGCCTGGATGCCACCTTCTCTGGACATCTAAGAACCTCTCCAGCCAACACGTTCAAACAGAACCGGGTCGCTCCTCAAGCCCCTCCCACAGTGGTCAGACCTCAGAAGGTGGGGGACCTCAACCTTCCAGGTTGCCGGAAAGAGGCCTCGGAGTCGTGATCAACGGCGCCTTGCGGTTCCTCTCTGACCACCTCCACCCCGTGGCTCCGACCCAGGCCGCGCTGCATCTCACCCGGATCGTTGCCACACCCCTGACCGCCCTCCCTGCTCTGCCACCGGCCCCATTGCCTGGGTCCGCACAGCAGCCAGAAGGATCGTCTAGAACCCTAAGTCACAGCCCAGAAGAATTTAGAGATTTGAAAAGGCATGTGTGCATCCATGTTCACAGCAGCCAGGTGGATGCAGCCCACGTGTCCATAGGCAGATGATGGATCAGCAAAATGTGGTCTGGCCACACAAGGGATCATTATTCAGCCTTAAAAAGGAAGGAAATTCTGGCATCTACTAAAAATAGATGAACCTGGAGGACATTATGTTAAGTGAATTAAGCCGGTCACAGGACGACTAATCCTGTAGGACTCCACTGATATGAGGTCCCTAGAGTCATCAAATTCATAGAGACAGAAAGTAGATGGTGGGGTCAGGGGCTGGAGGAGGGGGATGGGGAGTGAGTGTTTAATGGGGACAGAGCTTCCGTTTGGGAAGATGATGAAAGTTCTGGATGATGGTGGGGGCGGCTGCATGACAAGGTGAGTGCACTTAACACCACTGAACTATACTAAAATATTATGCATATTTCACCACAATAAAAGAGCAAGTCCATTTAGTCACATATAAAAATACTGAATCACTATGATGTACACCTGAAACTACTAGGATATTGTCAATTATACTTCAGTTAAAAAAAACCCCGTAAGTCACACCATGAGGCTTCTCTGCTGAAAAACCATCCCAGGGCTCTCCATCTCTCCTTAGGAAAACCCAACTGTTTCCAGGAACTTCTAAGGGCGTATGCACTTGGCCTCCCCCTGCTGCATCCCTGGAACACACAGGCACACACTCACCTCAGGACCTTTGAACTTGCTATTCCAGCACTCTGCCTGGAAGTTCCTTCCCACAGGACCCCACTCAGCAACCTCTCTCACCTTCCACCTCTGCTCACACATCACCTCCCTGAGGGCCTTCTGCTGACCCTAAAATAGCCACTTGCCATCCCCTCACCCTACTTTATTCTTCAGAGCATATGTCCTTTGCAACACCTCATTTTTCTATTTTCTATTCCCCTTCGTCCTCGAAGCTGCAGGGGCAGGGGCTGCATCTTGCTCTCTGCTCTATCCTGGTACCCAGAACTGCACCTGGAACAAGTACTGGCTCATAAGTGCTGCTGAATGCAGGAAGACGCTGCTCAGGAACCTTCTTCCAGGAAGCCTTCCCTGATTTCCTCTATCCCGGGCCAGGCTAAGTCGTACAACCAGACTCATCACCTGGATCTGTGCCTCCCTGATGGGGCTGTCAGAGTCCGAGGGCAGGGCCCTTTTTGTCTCTGGAGCTCCATAATGTAATATAAACAATGTATGTTTATACCATTTTTTATTCTAAAAACCATTCAGCTGTGCTTTTAAACCCAAGCTGCCTGAAGAGTGTGTCTGAAGTCTGCAATCCACTGGCTCCTGGGCCTGGGAGTCTCTCCCCTACCTGAGGGTGCGGCCAGAGCTGTGCAGGCGGGTGCGCTGGGAGAGCGGGAGGGGCAGGCCATCCTTGAGCCAGCTCACATGGATGGGTGGGGAGCCCCGGACGGGGCACGCCATGGTCACCAGCCCCCCAGGCTGGCTCACCAGGGTCCCTGTGCCCTCTGTCCCCTGCTCGATGGTGGGAGGAACTGGGGGTGAGCAGGGAGAAAAGAGGGGGCAGTGAGGGGGTCTGGGGAGGATGCCCGCATGGAGGGAGCGGGCTCCTCCCAGGGAAATTCCAGGAGGCGGTGCTGACACCTCGACTCCTGCCACAAGCCACCGGCAAGTGTGTGGGGCTACTCCCTGGCTCTGCATCCACCCCTGTGAGGATGAAGCCCCTTGCCAGGGGCATGGCTCACCCCTGGGCTCTCTTCTCATCTCCCTTAGCCCTAACTCCCCCACTGCACCCTTGGGCTGGAGGACGGGGTGTGGAGGCCCAGAGGAGTAGGACTGTGGCCTGGCTCCCAGGGGGTCTCAGCTGGGGGCTGCACCAGGTCTCCTGCATCCTGCCCTCACCCCACCCTTCAGATGCCCTGGGGGAGGCGCACGATGGCCAGGCGTCTGCAGTCCTGGGACAGCGGGACCGGCCGCCTCTCCTGGCTCCTCAGCTGCTCACCCAGCACATTCACAGTGTGCAGCCTGGCATCCTCTCCAGCCGCGTTGTGGGCCACGCAGGTGTAGGCACCCGAGTCGGAGGCCCTCAGGCCCTTCAGCACCAGGGAGCTGCCGTCCAGGTAGAACCTGCCGCAGGGAGGGATGGCCAGGAGCAGGCGCGTGAGGGTCTACATGGAGGCCCTGCCACCAGGGCCCTGGGGAGGCACAGGCTGGGCCTTACCGGAGGTGGGGGCCCATGCCCTGGCCCAGTGGGCCACCGTCCTTCAGCCAGGCCACGTCGGGGGTCGGATGCCCGTCAGCCTCGCAGTCCAGCCGCACCTCCTGCCCCTCCAGGACGCTGTGCTCCTGCGTGATGCCTGAGCTCCGGATCTGGGGAGCCACTGTGGCAAGGGTGGTGGTGAGGCCCCACTCAGTGGCAAGAGCTGGGGTGGGAACGGAATGTGCCGTGGGTGCATGGTACCAACATACCTAGTACGGCCACCACAAAGTCCTTGCGGGCCTCGGCTTGGGTGTTCTCAGCTACGCATGTGTAGGTGCCAGCCTGCCCTGGCTGCAGGCGACTCAGCTGGAGACGGCCCCCCCGGGAGACCACACCGTGTGCCACGCTGCTCTCTGTGGGACGAGGGGCACTTCAGGCCTTCACCTGCACAGATCTGCTGTCCCAGGTGCTACCACTAGGCCCAGACACGGAAGTCCCATGACTCCTGGAAAAGGTGCCTGTACCCCATGCTTGCAAGCCTGGAAAAACCCTGGGAACCCTTGAATCACCCACCTGCTCTTTGTGCTCACAGGGAAACCAAGGCCCAGACAGGGGCAGGACCTCTTGCCATCTCTGACCTCCCTCAGCACAGCCTCTCTGATCGCGCTGTTCCTCACAACCCTTCCCGATTTCCTGCTACTGCCACATTTCTTCCCCAGGGACCCCGCTAACGACCTTTAGTGTCCAGGGCTGCTCCTCTCCGGTTGACTCCCATCCCACCCCACCCTCGCTCCATCCAGCGTCCAGCTCTGCCCCTGCTCCTTCCCACCAGGAGGCTTCCAATCAAGGCGAACCAGCCACTCCCTGACCAAAAGGCAGGCCACACTCGGGGCTCCCCGCCTCTGCTCAGGCCGAGTGCTCACCCCCACCCTGAAAGGGCTCCACCTTCTTTCTCTCCAGCTGTACCTCCGCCCAGGAGCCTTCCCTGACTACACTGGCCCAGCCTGATGCACCCTTGCCCAGACCCTCACCCGTCCAGCCTGCCTTCCAACACAAAACGCAGCGAGGAACGACCACAAGTCCGACCACCAGCTAGGGGGTCAGAGACGAGTGACCAGACTGCCTGTCACCGAGCTGCCCCCAAACGCACCCGGTGCAGTGACGCAGGCCCAGCCCTGTGACCCGCCCCTGCTGGAGCCAAGGGAGATCGGGAGGTCTTCTGGAGGAGGCGAGTCCCAGCTGAGACGCGGGGCGAGTGTGAAGCAGCCGGTGGAAGGGGGGTGGTCGGGGGGCCTGGGTGGGAATTTCCGGGAGGAAACACCTGCACCAAGAGCTGGAGGCAGGAGAGAAGAGGGCCTGGAGCAAATCCAGCCCCAGGCGTGTCCGGGAGAGAAAGGAAGCATGTGTGCCCACAAAGGCCCGCACGGCGCGTCCTTCCCAATAGCCAAAAGGTGGAAACAACCCACATGTCCACCAACTGACAAATGGACACACCCACACAATGGAATACTCAGCCAAAGAAAGAGCAAAAAAGTAGTAATTTAACTTTAAAAAGGAACTGTAACATGGATGAATCTTGGAAACATGATGCTGAGCGGAAGAAGCCAGACACCAAAGGCCACCCCGGGTGCAACCCTGTGAGATGGCAGGGCAGGCAAACCCCCAGACAGGAAGTAGGTTAGCGGCTGCCACACAGAAATAGGAAGTGAAGGGTAACTGAATGGGGTTCTTTTGGGTGAAAAACCATGTTCTAAAATTGCTTTGTGGAGATGGTCTGTGAATATACTGAAAATAAGGGAATTATATGCTTTAAATGGGTAAATTGTATCATATGTGAATTATATCGCAACCTAGGGGTTATTGCAGGGGTAGAGGGGCGTGTGTCTGAGGAGCCAAGGGCAGCTGGTTCTCTCTGGAGCGCGGCACAGGGCCGGGAGGGGCGGGCTGGCCCCTGGCCCCAGGCCCCTCGACGCCTGCGAGGCTGTGGTTCTCAACGCTGCAGCCACAAAAGGGTTTTCAACAAACCACCTGCTCTGAGCTGCACTCTGAGGTCCCTTCTCCCCACTGTGGAGCCTGTCCTGGAGGCAAAGGGTGGGCCCAGGAGACCACTGAGGGGATGCTGCCCTCACCTGGGGGGCAGGGTGGGGGGCACAGTGATGGATAGACAGGATAGACAGGAGTGGGCTGGCATCAGAGGTGTTTACCAGCCGATGAGACAAGGGATTCCCTGAGTGACCAGAGGGTGAGTTGGGGAGAAGCAGAGAGCCAGGCAAGACTACAGATGGGGGTGACCAGGGGCCAGGTGAGGAGCTCCGTTCCTGGGAGAGGACCGGCGTTGGGAGCCAATGCCGAGCCCAGGGCCGGGCTGGCTGGGCCGCAGCACCTGCTCTGCACGTCCCTCGTGTGCGAGTTGCGTACTGGCACCAACACAAGGAACCTTCGAGCCCCCTTGGGAATAATCCTCAAATCTGGGATTTCAAGGACCAGTGGTGTTCAAAGACACATAGAGGTGGGACCAGTAGGGCACTGCCAGCCTTTGATTTTGCCAAACAAGAACAATTAACAACACTCCCCTGATTTCATTGCCATTTCATTAAATAAAGGAATATTTGGCAAAAAGGTAAGAAGGACCAAGTGTACTCACCAACAGGCATTCTGTCCTTGAGCCAAGTGACAGTAGGTGCAGGGACCCCGGTCACGTCGCAGCTCAGCACCAGAGGGCTCCCAGCCACCTGGCTCACTGTCTCTGTCTTGGGGTTCTCAAATGTTGGGGGCACTGCAGGAGAGAGGCCAGATTCCCAGAATCCTAGGGCTCCGCCTCCCACTCCCTCTCAGGCAGACCAAGGATGCTTGGAAGCCCTTCTCTGTGGTTAAGAGCTGACATTTTGTGCTTGGCCATTGGTGGAAATATGGATTGCTTCATTCACGGATATAAATAGAACCAGCAGCTGGCTGTTTCAAATCATTTACAAAGCAGAGCCCGGGGAGGGTCCACTTAGCCTGAGGATGGTAAATACATGGTCAGTGCACCAGCAGTCCTCAGCCTACACCCGGGCAGACATCACTAATCCATCCCAGCACCCTCTTACTCAGCCAGGATGAAGTCATGCAGTCTGAGCAACCGCTACCAATGGAAGAAAAATGGCTGTGCTCAGGATGAAACACCTTCACCCTCAAGTGTCAGACATCTCCACTTCCCACGGCTCCTCAGGAGCCATCAGGAGAAGGGGCTGTGAGCTTTGTGCAGCAAACCTTGTGCCAATAATTTTCAATAATGGTATCAATATGGCTCAGGGTGGGACCCATCCTGCTCACTGGGTGGGGAGGTTACTGGCTTTGCCATCTGTGGCAGACAGCTGATGGCCCCACAACCTGTCCTTCCCGTCTTGCACAGCAGTTTTACCTGAGCACAGGACCACTCAAGTAGCAACTCAATCTCTGAGGGCTCCCATCCCAGTGCTCACATGCCAGGCCCTACGCCTAGCACTTTATAGGCAGTCATGGAGTCCACTGGCTGAGTGCTTCCTGTATGCATAGCAGGCAGGTATTGCTTTTAGCTCCTTTTACTAAAGGTAAACCTGAGTCTCAGGGGGCGAAGTCATTCTATGGAGCCCCACAGAGCACGTCATAGGTAGAGTTGTGATTGGGTCCTGGTGTTTTCCATCCCAGATCTGGTGCCCTAAACACTCAGCAACACCACCTCTTTCCAGCTGCTGCCCTTCCCGTCCTTGGCAGCCCCTGTGTGCTGTTAGGGGTCCCATGGTGATGCTTGGGCTGGTCCCCAACTTACCCTGGACACTGAGGATGAATGTCCGCATGGCCTCCCCAGCTGCATTGATGACTTTACAGCTGTATAAACCTTTATCTGACACCTGGGACAGAGAGAATATGGTGATGTTGTGCATGGGCCTGGGGTGGGGTGCCCAGGACTCCCCCAAGACATCCAGGCCCCAGAACATTTCAGAGGAGGGACCCTTCAAATATGCTGGTCTTGCCTGGGAAACCAAAGGGGAGAGGGGCCCTCTAGTCTTTCCCAAAGCCTCAAGAAGCGAGAGGACCGATGGAAGGTGAGTCCCTGACCTCCACCCTCTCCTGGGCCTGCGTGTCAGCCAGCCCTGAAGGAAAAGGGCCCCCTCATGATGAGGATGAGCCGGGCCAGGAGAGAGGAGCCCAGAGTGGATTTCCAGAGGAGAAACAAACATTCACCCAGCAAACGAACATTTGTGAGCGTCTAATCCACACCAGGTTGGGTGGGCGCAACGACTCCCAGGGGGTCATACCACAAGGGCCTGGAAAAAGGCTTCTAGATCCTGGGGAGAGTGAGGCAGGCTATGGGCAGTGGACCTACTCAAGGTCATTCTGTGAGCCGGTGGGCAGCCGGGTCTGGGGCCTGTACTCTTCCCATGTGTCTGGCCCTGGAGGTTGCTAATCAGCCCCTGCACCCTGCTACATAGCTGTCCCCCCTCCATACCTGCCCAGAACCCACAGCCCTCTATGGCTGCCCACACCACTGGGCTGCCTACCTGGGTGTCTTGGATCTCTAGCCTCTGACCCCCTGGCAGAGACGGGGTCTGCTGTGCTAGGACCAGGGGCTGCCCATCCTTGTACCAGGTCACAGCCGGCTCAGGGATCGAGTCTGTCTCGCAGTCCAGGACTGCCTTGTCCCCAGCCCGCACCGGGACCACATTCCTGGGGCCCCTGAAGGGCTGCCTGAAGGTGGGGGGAGCTGGGACAGGGGGCAGCAGAGTGAGGCACTGTGGCCTTCCTGGGGTGTCCCCCAGCCACAAGCAAAGAGCCTCAGAGGCACACAGGGTCACACAGCAGACCTCCCCACCCCGGGGAATGCACAGACCCAGGGAGTTGGAGGAAGAGGACCTGGGCAGCATGCCAAGGACCTGCTGGGTGACCGGGAAAAGGCTCCTGGCATCTCAGGGCCACTGCCTCCCAGAAGGGGGAGGCGCTTTGCAGGCCATCTGGGCTCCTTTCACCACAGGCAGACCCCAACTGTGTCAGAGCCCTCAGTGGGGGTCCTCAGAGCCCAGAGCCCCCATCCCTCCAGTAAACTGACCTCAAAGCTCCCACCCCACTGTGAGCCCACAGGACGGGGCACGGTGTCCGGTGCATGGTAGGTGAACACCCGCAGATAAATGAGCCAGTCCTGGGGCTAGAAAGAACCTTCCAGAGAGTCCTGGATCATGGAGCTTGGGTCAGCTTTTCCCCAAGAGGATTCTGAGGCCAGGAGCCCCAGAGAGGCTCTGTGCCGAGAACCTCGTGGTCGATGAGGCTCGGGAGGGGCCCTCCCTGTGGCATTCCTGCTGCCTCTCCTTGACATCAGAGCTCACTGCGTGCCCGGCACTGGGTGAAGCACTCACATACCACCATTTAATCCTATGCCAGCCATCACCCTACAGATGACAGACCCGAGGCTTAGAGACGAGGAGGGACTTGCCCAGGGTCACAGAGCAAATAAGTGCTGAGCAGAGTTTCAAACTCAAGTTTGTCCAATTCTACAGACCAGGGTCTTAACTCCACACTGCCCAGACGCCGTCACTACAGGAGGGCACAGGGCATACCAGGCAACCCCAGGGTTGGCTGCCCCTCTCCTGGCTGTGCTGCCTGAGGGACATGGTGGTGAGGTCTGATTGAAAGAATGGGGGACAGTGTAGGTAGGGGGGCAGACAGGACATACCGAGCACGCTAAGCTGCACCAGCTTCTGGTCTCGGCCGGCGGCATTGAGGGCCTCACACATGTACATCCCAGAATCTGATGGCTGTGCTCGTGCCAGCTGCAGTGTGTGGGTGCCTGTCGAGGGAGCCAGCCCCTTGCACCAGCTAGCCCACAACCCAAAAGCCCTCCCAGGCTCCCAATCAGGTCCCAGGTTTGGGGAAGCAACTCTGACTCCCTACACAGCTTCAGAGCCAGGGCCCATGCCTCAGTTTACCCACCAGGTAGGAAGAAGACCCCTTCTCCCAAGGAGAGGGCCTGGCCGTCCTTATACCAAGCGACCTCAGGGCTTGGGTGAGCGTGGACATCACAGGGGAGGGAGATGCTGCTATTGAGGATGGCAGTGACCTGCTCCGAGTTCAGACCTGTGATTCGTGGTGGGACTGTCCCCATGGCCACCAGGATAAAGGAAAGACACATGAGACTGCATGCCAGCAGGGCAGCAGAGCCACAGAAGGACACACGGACACACAGAGCCTCTACAAGCTCCGGGAGCTTCACCGAGGCGCATCTCCAAACACTGCAGCAGTCGCTGTTTGTCAGAACTATCTCACAGATAAGGACGTGGGGGCTCAGAGATCAGACAGGGAGAGTCACTTGTCCAGAGCCACTCAGCTGGTCAGAGGCAGAGCCAAAATATCCATTCAGGTTTGGGTCCTAGACCGGCAGCACTCAACACTGTCATCCCTCCGTGAGGCCACAGCCGCCCCAGGTCTGGAGGCAGAACTCACAGCCACTGAGGTGCATGGGTCCCACAAATGCAGAAGCCCAGAGGGTCGACTCCAGGGTGGGGAGACCCCGTCCCTGGATGACCTCTCTGGGTCTGTTCCACGGCTATACGTCAGGTTAACCTCCTAGTTTCACTGGAAGTTGTCAGCCCAGGGAAAGTGCTCAACCCCAGGCCAGGTTCACAGTAAGTGCTCAGTAATGGTGCCGTAAGGTCTCTGAAGAACCATTCTCTGGCAGCCTCTGAAGTTGCTTAAAGTTACCTGGAGTTGGCCTTTAGTAATCAGGGTCCCCAAATGCTCCCTGTCCCGGGATATGGCTGGTTCCAGGATCAGTTCAGGCCAGGACCCCTGAACTCTAGGCTCCGAGCCCAGGACACTGGACACACCATGCTGAGTCTGACTGCACAGTTAACCCAGGGGGTGGCCTGGAGCAGGCCAGGAGCCCAGCCCCTTCCCAGCTGGGGAGCCTGCAGCAGCCACCCACTCAGCCCACCTTGCACCCTGAGGGTGAAGAGCTTCTCTGCAGAGCCTGCTGGGTTCTCGGCCACACACATGTAGCTGGCAGCGTCAGCCACCTCTGCAGTGGAAACCTGTGGGAGCGGGGAGGAGGTTCCTGAGGGATGCTGCAGGCCTGATGGCTCCGGGTCCTCCCAGAACTGCTGGAGGGCTCCCTGCCACCCACACCAGGCCTAGAAGACCCCTTTGTCTACATGCAGCAGCGCTTAGGGGGCCCCACGGAGGGCCTGCCACCCTCAGCCATCAGGGGCTTTCTGTGACACTGGGGGTAGGGAGATGAGGTTGATATTGGATGATTCCTGACAGCAAGAGGGTGACAATGGTCTCCCCCAGCCCCAAGGACGGCTGCCCTGTTCTATGCTGGGCTTCAGGGGTCCCGTGCAGCTGTGTCTGGACGCAGGTGGCCGAGGTGCTGTCTGAGCCCCTGGGTGCTGGGCACAGTTCTGTAAGTGTCAGGCATCCCCACAGAATGTGGCCCTGTGCCGCGCTGGGCTTAAGTGTGGCGTCCGTGCATGTCCTCAGGTGCCGTGGGCAGCCCGTGCCTGCCGGCCAGGAGCTGGTTTAAATCCCTGGGCTATGACATGGTGTCAGGCACCTTTGCCTGCCTAGGTGCAGACAGTGGCTGCTCCTTGGTTCCCAGACAGAGAGTGTGAGCCTTCAGCCCGGCCAGGGGAAGCCCTGACCTGCAAGACCTGTCCGTCCTCCAGGACCTGCAGCCGCGGGCTCGGGGAGACAGGCAGCCCGTTCTGGAGCCATGAGACGGTGGGCAGGGGGTTGCCCAGGGCCGGGCACTGTAGGTTGACGGTGCTGTTGGCATTGACTGTCACTTCCTCCACCAGCTCCTCGGTGTCCCCCAGGATCACAGGTGGGGCTGAGGTCAGGGAGAGGAGGGTGAGGAGCAGGCAGCCTCCCTGAGAAAGGTCTCTGGGGGTGGGTGGTGGGCGTGGAGGAAGAGCAGCCCTTAGTGCCAGGCGCTGGTCGGGGCTCCTTGTGCTCTGTTCACCAAGCTCCCCAGGCCCTGATGCAGTCAAGGACTCTGGGGCACAGAGATGGCTGTGATTTGCTTGAGGTCACACAGCTAGGGAGCAGCTCACTTGGAACTTGAACCCAGTCCTGTCCGGTTTCAGAGCCCAAGCTTAACACTCCTACGTTGGCAACCACGACATAATGCAGGACTGGACAGCACACTCTATCTTGACCCCCTCCCCTTCCAGAGCGGAGCCCTCGTGGGACCCTTCCTTACCCGGGGCCAGGCCACTCACTCAGCACCTGCAGCTCGTAGTGCAGCCAGTCCTCGCCCACCTCATTGGAGGCCTTGCACGAGTACCTCCCGGCATCCTCCGCCCGTACCTGGGGGATCTGCAGGACCCGCCCTCCTGTGGGGACACAGGGACCAAGAACAAAGACCTGCTCCTTCCTCAGAGGGGGCCTGGGGCACATCACTGCCCCCCTCCCCCCATCTGTGAAACAGATGGCAGCATCACCATCTGCCCAGGTCACAGGCCGTCAGATTAATCACAGTAACAGCTTGCTGCGCGCCCACATTCTCCCGGCCCTGGCTCTCTGTACTGTTACTGCTCCAATCTTACAGACAGAAACGCTGAGGCTTCCAAGGGCACCCGGCAGTGCCGAGCCGGCTCCTCAGTGAAGCAGGAAGGAAGGGGCAGAGGCGGTGGGAGACAGAGGCAGCTCCTGGGCTGTGGTCGTTGGGGATGGGAGAGTTTGGGGGATTACCTGGGACCCTCTGATCAAAAGCCAGCCAGAACCAGACCCTGGCATCTATAGGAGCTGGTCTCTAGAGGGGACTGGGTTAGGATCATTGTGTGCTCAGGGTTCTGGGTTGGGGGATCACTGGCACAGGCTGTGGTGGGCTCATGACCAGGATTAGAACCAGGGGCTCATTATATGCAGAGCCAGGGGACAGTAGCCAGGATTGAGGAGTCAGTGGCCACAGTCAGGGGTCAGATGTGTGAGGTTAACCTATGGCAAGAGCCAGAATAAAGATCAGCTTGTGACCACAGCCACTAGGTACCTACGATTAGGGTCAGTAGCCATGGTCAAAGGTAAATGGTAGGGTTGGAGGTTAATGGTTAAGACTGGGGGCTCAGTGGCTGTGGCCAGGGTTCAGGTGACGGCTGGGATTAACCTACGGTCAGTGTTTGAGCTAGGGACAGGCATGTGACCGAGCTTGTACCCAGGGTTTGGCTCAGTATCCAGGTCAGAAGGCTGTGGCCAGATTACGGGGTCAATCTGGGGTTTTCTGACAGGAATAAACAGCTTTCAGCAAGTATCACCTCTCCCGGATCTCCAAGAGTCCACATTCTTCTGTAAATGCCAAAGTATAGACTCTGGAATGACCTTGTTTGTCCAGAGGCCCGTGCAACCCCCTCATCTGCCCCTGGCCAGCCCCACCATTGGCCCAAGGCTGGCAGGACACAGGGCAAACCCGAAGCCAAGAGACCACCCCCGCTCCCCTCATGAGACACTACAAGGCTCTGGGCCTGCAGAGCCTCCCAGGTCTGGACCCCTGTAGCCTTTTAAATCAAATTCATCCACAAAAAACTATTCTAAAATAAAAGTGTTGTTTTAAAAAAATTAAATGACCTTAAATAAGCAAATATTTAAAGTGGTACAAAGAAAAAAAAAAGCTTGGATCCCAGTGGGTCATTATGAGACCTCATCAAGGAACTGTCTCCCCCTCCAGAGAAAGGTACCAGTTTTGACCAGTCCTTTCAGGACATTACAGATCTTGAAGCCCAGAGGTGGGCAAGGCCCAGGTGAGAGCCTGCCCTGAAAAGCAGGCAGAAAGGGACCTTCTTCTTGCCTTCAAACAGGCAGAAAACTTCTAGCCCTGGTTTACAAAAGGCAGTTAAGCCCAAGTGTGGTTACACGCCCTGTCCCAGGTCACACAGCAAACATACAGGAGAGCTTAAAGGACCTATAGGAAGGCATGTGAGGAGACCAGTTCTGCTGTGGGTACAACCCTGGTCCCTGCCCACCAGTGCCCCAACTTCTCTGCACAGCCCTGGACTACCTTGCAGAACAGACACCCCGTCGGTGGCCAAGAGGGGCTGGTCCTCCCTGTACCAGGTGAGCTCTGGGGGTGGGACTGAATCAGGGTCACAGTACAGGTAGGTGGGGTTGTTCTCCACGATCTCACGGTATTCCATCACTCCACCCCGGGCCTCTTCCTCCTGGGACAGCATCTCGAAGTCTGCACTGGCATCACCCACCTTCTGGAACATGGGGGGCACTGGTGGGGAGGAGGGGGCAACACGGAGCTATTAGGACAGACAATGGGCCTCTGCTCAGACACTCCCACCCCAGCCTCCTGCAGGTGCAGAAACTCCGCTGTTGGAGCCAGACCCTTAGGTCAAGGTAGTTTTTAAATTAATTCACACCTTCGACCAGTGTTCACTGAGTAACTGCTATGCTGCCACTAGGATGAGGTTCCTGCCTTTTGGAGCTCATGTCTGATGGACTCAAAAGGCTTCTCGTGACACACTGATATTTTTCAGGAGAGGAAGCCAGATAGAAGCATTAGCCAGAGTTTGTTTATTGGAGCCCAGAGGGACAAACTCATCAGCTTTTGGAAGTGGAGGGGCCCCCAAGGCCACTGGATTTGATTACCCACGTTTCACAAAGGTGAAACTAAGGCCTAGGCTGAGCAGTGATGCCCTCAAGTCATGAAGTCAGTTCATGAAAGAGCCCAGGCCAGAGGTCGGGCAGTCCCACGTGCCAGCCATGGGGAAGGGGAACAGCAGCCTGGGAGAGTTCCCTGCCAGGCCACTCCAAAGCCCTGATGCTCGCCGCACCCTGCCAGGCCAACCGTGCCCCCCCCACACACCCTGGATGAGCACGTTGAAGTCCTGGTCATCCTCGCCAGCCACGTTGGTGGCCACACACAGGTATCGCCCTGAATCCGCCACCTGTGTGGGCCGGATCTGGAGCAGCCGCCCTTCACCCAGGAGGTGGAGCCGCTCGTTGGGGGCCACGGGCTGGGGAGTGGAGAGAGTGGGAAGGGAGATGAGAAAAGAAGGGCAGAAAGCACCCAGATGAGGGTACTTCTATTTAAAAAAAAGGAAAACATAAAGTAATAGGAATACTCCAACAATGTTGGAGTATACCAAATCCATGTAACTTAAACACTGGAAGAGAATTAAATGGGTGAATATAGCGTTTAATGTTGGTGATACTTGTTACCTATAAAGAGTTGGATTTCTTATTGAAATATAAAGGGTGGTACGGGCCCCAGACCAGCTCTGGGACCAGGTGCTTTGATCACCTTTTCTGGAAGGTTCCAGGCAGAACCATAGGGAACCCACAGGCCACCCACGGGGTTCCACACTCACCCGGCCATCCTTGTACCAGCTGATGGTGGGTGGGGGCACAGCCCAGCACTCACACTCCAGGGTCAAGGTACTGTTGACCTTGGTCTTCACTTCCTTCACGCTGACCTCCCCCAAGGGGTCGTCTTTGGAGATGGAAGGGGGTACTGAAAACCACAGGGGGTCTGAGGAGCAGGTCTGGGAAAGGGGGGCTGAGCCCCTGCACCCACCCTGGTCCTAGGGCAGTTGTAGAAACGGGGGCTGCTCCCAAGAGTGGAAGAACAGGGACCCTGGGAACCGACCTGCTCCTGGGGCTGCTCATGCAGGGGAGAGAGGCAGGGGGATTACTGAGGTGGCCTCTGGGGGATCTTCTGGGGATACCAGCTCTCAAGCTGTGGGGCCTCTGATGGCACCGCAGTACAAGTGGCAGAAGGAAACCAGGACTGGTATGGGTTGGGATGCCCATGTGGCCCAAGTCCTAACTGGTTCTCTCCTCCTGGTGTGCTCAGCCCTATAATGACTGAGTGGGCCCTGGCTGCCTGGCACCCATCAGATGAGACAGCCCATGTGAAGGCACCTGGGGTATCCAGTGCCACCCATGTTCCAGGTCCCAGAGCAGCCTCTGCCTGCCCGGCGGGTGCCTCGGGGGTCCCCAACTCACTGAGGACTTCCACGTGGTAGTTCTTCACAGCCTCCCCAAGCTCGTTGGTGACCACACAGGTGTACTGGCCCGCATCTTCCTTCTGGGCATTTAGGATCTGCAGCCCGTGGGTGCCTGCTTGGGGTCACAGCAGCCATGGTCACCCCCAGACATGAACTCATGAACCAGTCCCTTCCTCTGGCCCAGCCTGATGACGTGTGCCCTGCCCCCTCAATCCTCCCCCCAGAGAAGGCATCACCTGGGAGCAGCTGGATGTTGTTTGAGGGCTCAAACGGGGCCCCATCCTTCATCCAGGTGACGGTGGGGGAGGGGAAGGCCAGCGCCTCGCAGATCAGAGAAATGGGGTTACTGATGGTCACAGTCACCTCCTCATCTGCACTGTCCTCGGTCAGTCCCAGGATGGTGGGAACCACTGTTGGAGGGGGGCGCAGGGTATGCATGGTAACAGGGATCCCCAACTCTGGGCCCGAGGATCAGGAAGTCTCAGACCCGGGTGCTTAGCTCTGCACTTTTGCTGTTGGCATCGCACAGATGGGAACCTGAGGCTCAGAGTGGCCCATGCGCTGTGCATCTAGACTTGAACCGAGGCCCAGGTGACCTAGAGCTGAAGCTCACCACCACTAAGCAATACCACAGGGGAAGCTGGACAATTTCTGCCTCAATTTCCCCATAATGCTCTTAAAATGCAGACTGTCTATTAATTTACTCAGAGCTTCTCGGGTCTCCTTCTGGTTCAAATCTGTACCACTCTGGAGAGGTTGGTGGGCTGGAGGGTGGGGGCAGGGCTGATCCCTGCTGAATAGAAAAGCTCCCAGTTTCACTGGTCCTAAAAATTCCTCTTCAGCCCCTGCAGTGAACTCCCCCTTTACCACCAGCATTTTTCAGAAGTGAATTTTATAAAACAAGTCTGTGTCCCTCGTGTTTTCTAGACCCTGTTTCTCCTAACAAGTCAATTCCCACTGGTTGCCTTCAGGACACGGATGGCCTGGGTGTGAAACCGCCACCCCCCTCCCCCCACACACACTACACACTGGGGGCCTAAAGTGAGTCTTGTCACCTCCCTAAGCCTCAGAGCTGCATCAGTGACGTGGGGACGGGCACATCTCTAGTGTCCAAATGCCTGGCCCACCACAAGACTTCAGCCAGTGTAGCTGCTGTTACTACTTTTGTGGTTATTATTGCTGTTGAACTTGGAGAAGTCGAAATAAAAGTCACAGAGTGCTTTGTGGGAAGCTGCCTGTAAGGAGGTGGTCACCTCGCCTCTCCCTCCTGCCAGCACCCGGGGCAGCCAGGAGATGTCCAGCACTTACCCAGGACGCTTAGCTGCAAGTGTTTGGTCTTCTCCCCCGCGGCGTTGGCTGCGATGCAGGAGTAGTGGCCGGCACTTGACAGGTTGGCCTGGAGGACCTGCAGGAGGGCTCCGTCTGGAGAGATGAGGTGGGCGTCCCCGGCAGCCAGGCGCTGGCTGTCCTTGAACCATGTGACCTTGGGCTGTGGGTGGCCTGTACACAGAGGGAGAGGCAGCAGAGACAAGTCAGCAGGTTCTGACCAGCGTGGCCCTGAGGTCAGAGGCTAGGGATGTGGACTCTCCATCTCAGTCCAGACCCCCAAGCAGCAGGGCAAGACAGAAGCAGCCACTGAGCCTGGTCGGGGCCCTTTCCCACATGGTTTGACCACCTTTTCCTTACCAAGGACTGGGCAGAGATGGTTCGGTACAAACCAGCAAGACAGAAAGGCAAGTTATCCCTTCCATCCCTCCCCCCCCCACCTATACCACCCCACCTACCTACCCTAACCCACAGCATTAATGGGTGCCTACTCTGCCAGGTACCAGGGAAACTATGGTCGCAAGGCAGCCCTTTGTCCTCAAGGGGCTTCGAGCTGGGCTAAGATGTCACGAGGCCACTGTGGCCCATGGCTAGTGCTGGGCCAGGGGCACTGCGGCCTACGGAGCCCAGTGGAGGTAGCCCACAGGCCCGTGGGGTGGCTAAGGACTCCTGTAGAAAGTCCTGGAAGCTGAGGTCTGCAGGCAGGTGAGGGTGAGTGTGAAGGTGGGCAGGGCCGTGGTGCCGNTGCGGCCCTTACCTGTGGCATTGCACATCAGGTGGGCTGTCTGCCCCTCGGGGACCTTGACTGCCTCCTCCACGTCCTCATTCTCGATACTGGGAGGAACTGGGGGAAGCAGGGAGGCGGGGGGTAACTGACCAGGGTCGTCCCACTCAGGCTGAACAGCCACGGAGCAGGGAGCTAAGAGCCCATGGTGTCTCTCTTCAGTTTCCTATGCCTCGGTTTCCCCATCCCCTTGTGCCTGCTTCTGTGGGGCAGTGAGTTTCATAAACATTTGCTGCTGGCTGGCTGAGGAAAGTGCCAGTGCTGTGGGAGCAGGCCCTAGTCAGGGGAGGGCAGTTGGGTAGTGTTGGAAATATTTACCCCCCTCCACTTTGGGTTAGCTCCTGCTGTTTCTGGAAAGTTCCATGGCAGCCCCAGAGCGTGAGCCCTTAGTCCTGGGCCCTGTTCCAGGCAAGAGGGAAGGGATTCATGGGGTGCCTGTGAGAATGAGGTGGTGCCATACCCAGGACCTCCACGCTGAAGTTCCTCCGCGCCTCGCCAGCCTCGTTGCTTGCCAGGCATGAGTAGAGGCCCCTGTCTCGCTCCTGTGCCCGAGTCATCTTCAGCATCCAGCCACCTGGGAGGGAGGGGAATGGGCTCCAGGCATGCCTACAAGCAGCCTTCTGTCCAGCTGAGCCCAGGCTGCCCACCAGACATTATAATTAGATATGTATGTGGCTGCCTCCCCCTGTGTTCCATTCCTCAGGTGGGGAGACTGAGGCCCAGGAGGGCGAGCAGGTAGGTGGAGCTCCCTGCTGTGAGACAGGCACCAGGGTAAACTTGAGGACCCTGTTCCAGGAAGAAGGATCTGTCTCCTCACTACCCCCCCAGTTCTGGGGACCTGCTGGGGCTAAAAGGTCAGGAGCGGCCTATGAAGTCCTGGCCCAGGTCAGCCCCTGCCCCCACTTTTTACTCCGATGGACCTGGTGAAAGGCTGCCTGCTCCCAAGGACCCCTCAGAGGTGAGCCAGCTGCTCTCAGGGGAACCAGGGATCTAGGACGCGCCCCAGGAAGGCAGGTGCACAGGACAAGGGGTCACTGCCGTAGCTGCCCCCAGGGCAGATACTGTGATCGTTTGCCAGTCTCCTGCCTGGCCAGGATGCAGTCTCTGAATTCCTATCATCGCAGCTCCTCCGGCAGCCCCCACCCCAGCCAGTGCTCAGGAGTGGTGCACAAGGGGACAGTCCTTGGCCACCCCGGCTTTGGCTGTGTGGAACACTCGCCGAGGGTAAGCTTCACTGGACCTTGAAGTCCTTGCAGGATTGATGGGACGCTGCCTCTAGGGCCTCAGTTTTCCCATTTGTATACCAGCAAGAACCACTGCAAACCAGTGTTGTGAGGAGAATGAATATTCAGAGGGGAAGGTTTGTAGACCAGCACTTCCAAAAGTTTGTTACTGTTCTGTGGGATGTATAGAAGTGCTATGAGAATTTTTTTTTTTCTGCACGACTTATCAGAACTTTAACTATGCAAATGGTCGTTGTGAGTCTCTAGTTGGGGAGCAGAGCAGAAGCCCTTTCCAGACTTATTAAAATCCAATTTTTTTCCCTGGAGCACTTCACTTGACCAGAGTTTTGGGGTACACTCTTGGGGCACAACAGCTGAAATAATTATCCCAACCAGGCCTAGCAGCTCAGGGTCAGAAGTCACGGACAGAGGCGGAGGTGGAGGGCCAGACCCGATAACCAGATACTCCCCTTGTGGGCACCTTACCTGCCAAGAGGTAGGTGTCCTCCCCAGGGCTGATGGGCTCCTCCCCTCGGAACCAGCGGACCCTGGGGGGTGGGATGCCTGTGGTTTCACAGAGCAGCGTCAAGGGGCTGTGCAAGGCAGCAGTGACATTGGTCAGAGGGCCCAAGTCTCCGATGAGCTCTGGGGGAACTAGACACAGAGAAGAAGCCACATTCAGGATGCAGACACAGGCGGCTTGATTCTTGCCTGCACCCCCTCCTCGCGCCCTCCCCAGCCGTGCTCCCTGAGGACTGTGCCCACCCTCTGCACCCCAGTCGGGGGGCCCTGAGGAGCACAGGTAGCCAGACCAGAGCTGCTCCCATTAAAGGGAGTGAGTGGTGGCCGCAGGCTGGGCGCCGGGCCTCAGTTTCCCCACCCCCCTGAGGGACACCAGGAGGATTCAAGGACATGTGTAAAGTGCACAGCACAGTGCCTGGCACAGAGCCCATGCTGAGCAAATGAGACTGGAATCTGAGAAAAGGCAGACACAGATGCATTTCCTAAGTGCACCATCAGCGCTCCGTGGCTACCCTGCAGCTTCTTAGGGATCCGCTGAGAACACCAGCCACACCCCATCAGGCAGCGGTAAATGGGTGGGGCTGGGGTCCCAGGACCACCATGCACATGATGAGCGCGGCCTCCGAGCCAGAGCCCTGTCCACCTCTCCCACCTCATCTCTCACTGCCGCCCACCTCCACCCGAGGCACACAGGAGGCGCTCAGAAAGGTCTGGAAGCAAGAGCCTGTTTCCGTTACCCTGACTGTGCCGAGTCACCTCCCAGGCCTCCTCAGAGTATGCTCCCTCTGCCTGGCATATCCTTCCCCTCACCCTGGCACCTGGTTAACTCTCACTGAGCTTTTACATTTCAGCTGAAAGGTCACCTCCTGCAGGAAGCTACCCTGACTTCCCATGACAGTGTTCAGGGTCTTTCTGGCCCCCCACAGGCTCCGAATTCCCCGTCACATACAAGTCATGCAGGATAGGGACTGCTTCTTGCCCCAGTGTCAGGAACAGAGTAGGGGAACAGCAAATAAGGGAGAGGGGGAGGGTGGGAGGGAAATTAGGGCTGCTTGGAGTCAGTCCTGATTTGAGAACAGCCTTTATCAGAGGAGTCAGCAGGACTGACCCCAGGAGCAGAGCCTGAAGCCTGAACTAGCTTCGCTTCCTCCAGTCCTGCCCCTCCGGCTGCTGGTCCTCACCCAGCACGGAGAGCGCAAACCTCCTCTCCGCCCTCCCGGCCACGTTCTCGGCCACGCAGCTGTAGAGTCCAGCGTGGGCAGCCTGAGCCCGCTCCACATGCAGTTTCCGACCCTGGTCCTTCAGCTGCAGGCCAGGCTGGGGCCCCACCGGCTGGCCGTCCCGCTCCCACGTCACCCTGGGCGGGGGCTTCCCTGTGACATCGCACTGCAGAGTGGCCTCCCCGTCCTGGACCACGGAGACCTGCGGGTGGGGCTCCTGAGGGCTGGTGATCTGAGCGGGAACTGGGGTGGGGAGAAAGTGCGTGAGGGAAGGCTGCTGGCCACCGCACACAGCGCTCGCCATGCACCATGACCCTGCTTAGCCTGTGTCCCTCCACCACTTGCTGGCTGTGTGACCTCAGCCAGGTGACCTCACCTCCCCGCGCCTCCATTTCCATCTCTACATTGGGGTCATAACAGCAGCCACGGCCCCTCTCCCATACCCTGGGGATCATGGGTAAGCCTGCTGTTTGGAGAACAAGCTCAAGGCACTGCCCTTAAGAAAACCTTTAAGAGGTTTTCTTCCTCAGAAGGAGGGGGCTTCCTGGAGTCTAAGCAGTCGCTGGGCCCCGCTGGGGTGGGGGGCATTCCTCACTGGCTTCCCCCCAGGGCGCCGCACAGCACAGCTCTCTTCTCAGTTTTGTTTTCTCGAATGGTTTTTACAAGGCTGAGACATTTAATTCCATCGCTAGAGGACAAGTGGATAGAGCCTGGGTTTCCACTGTACATAGGAGCTTCCTATAAATTTTATATTTCTTTCAGTTTCCAACTGCTTCAAGATGATATTTCCCCTCTGGGCCATTGGGGGCTACCTGGGGTCACGCTGCCCATCTCTCCTACTTGGGTCAGGGGCTGTAAGAAGCCGGATGTGGGGGCAGTTAATAAGACCCTAGCCACCTGAGAGGGAAGCTCGAAGCGTTCTCATCAGCACAGTTCCTGCCTGGGCTCAGGTTCCAGAGGGTGGGGTTGCCCTGCCAGGGTGCTCAGTCGCCCAGCCTTCCAGCCCCTTCCAGCTGGCTCAGGTCACCCCAGCCGCGCTCACCATGCACCTCCAGCTGCTGGTCCTGGCTGCTATTTCCTGCCACGTTGCTGCACTCGCAGGTGTATGTTCCCTCCTGGGCCGGCTGGGCCTGTCCCAGGTATAGCAGCCGCCCCACAGCCGACACCTGCTCAAGGCCTGGCCCCTCCTCGGGCAGGGGCTGACCTGGATGCAACAAGGAGGCCCTGGTTCCGGTCCTCCCACATGGAAGGTTCGTCTCCCCCTCATCCCAGCCAACTCCTCACCCTTCAGGGACCTACTTAGGCACCACCTCTGCCAGGAAGCCTTCCCTGAGTACCAAATCTGACCCTGGCACCCACTTTGGGCTGCCACAACACCCAAGCTTCTCCCCATCCCGGTTCTGCCTGCAGAATGTCCTCTCAGAATCCCACCCTGGCCTGGCCCTGCTTCACTTTCCCTGAGGATCCTCACAGGCTCCTCAGGGCCTGGCACGTGGTAGGGCTCCGGGAAAGCTACTGAATGAATGGCCCATCCGTCTGACTGTGTGGCCAGAGGAGGGCAGCCGGTAGCTGGTACACCTGGCAGCAAGAAGGCCCCCGTGTAGGGGAAGGATTCTGTTAGCCTCAGGCACTGACCAGAGACTACTTCCCACCATCCCGCATCTGGTCACAGAGGAGCAGCCCTGGGCCCTGGGCGTCCATTAGCACAGACCCAGCAGGGGGAGAAGCCCTGGCGGCCACAGGACGTACTGCCTCCCTCTCATACGCTTTCCTCTGTTCTCTTCCCTGGTGATCTCAGCTCCCGGATTTATTTCCAGTCCAGAGCTCTCCTCTGAGCTCCAGAAAGTCACCTCTCACTGCCCACTTGCATCTCTTTGGGCGACTAACAGATGTCTCACAATGAGCATGCCCAACTCCGGGGCTGCCCCACAGACCTGTGCCATCAGCACTCCATCTCAGTGATGGCAGCGCCACCCTCCTGACTATCAGACCAAAATCTGGAGTCATTCCTGCCTACTCCGTCTTCTCAGCCCCCTAGGGAACCCACCAGGAAATCCTGCCAGCACCACCTTCAAAATGCATGCTCCTGGGACCCCCTCAGCTACCCCCCAGGCTAGGCAGTCAGCCTCTCTCACATGGAGACCTACTCCGCGCTAGCTGCCGGGTGTTCACCCTTGCTCCCGGTATTCGATTCTCAACATGGCTGGATGAACCCACTAGAGTGCAAATCGTATTGCAGCCCTTCTCTGTCCAGAGCTCAATGGTAGCCCCATCTCATTCGAGGTGACAGCCAAGATCCCAACAACATCCTATCCAGCCCCATTGCTCGGGTGCCCACCTCCTGCCATCCCCTCCTTGCTGACTCGGCTCTAGCCCCACTGGCCTCTTTGCCAATCCTCAAGCACACTTGGCTCATTCCCACCCCAGGGCCTTTGCACTTGCCATTAACCTCTGCCTGGAGTGTGCCTTCCCCTGCAATATTCTCATGTTCATCCCTCACCTTCTTGAAGTCTGCATGGTCAAACCTAAAACTGGACATCCCACCCCTCCCCCACACATCCTCTCCCTCAATTAATTTTTCTCCATGGCACTGGTCACCTAGGGTGCCAAGTCATTCAGTGAATTTTCATTTGTTATCTGTCCTCATTCACTGCTGTATTTCCAGCACCTCAGATGGGGCCTGGCCCAGAGAGGCTCTCAATAAATATTGGTTAGATGAATGAACTCCAAATATTTATTGAGCACCTATTTCATACCTGGGGCCCACAGACTCACGGAGGAGCAGATATTGAAGGGCTAAGGTGGTTCCATGACAAGTTAACACACAGGGACTGTGTCGAGGAGGCCCTATGCCAAGCCCGAGGTAGGGGTCGGTGAGGGCTTCCTGGAAGAGGGGACTTTTGAACTGATCAATCCTAAAGATCAATCCAGATCTCACTGGTTGGGAGGGGCCTGGGAGGCCCAGCAGACTTGGAGATGGGGCACAGGGGCTAGGGGAAGCATCTCTTCTGTAACCAGCACCCTCACCCTTGGGGATGGGGCATGGGGGGCTGAGGGAAGCGTCTCTTCTGTAACCAGCACCCCCATCCTTGGGGATGGGGCATGGAGGGCTGAGGGAAGCATCTCTTCTGTAACCAGCACCCCCACCCTGGGCTGTAGCCCACCATCTGTGTCTCAGCTGGGCTCCGGGGCCAGGGCACCTATGATCACAGTGAGGGGCCTCCTTGTGCAAGGCAATGAGGGGGGCTGGGCGAGGGCAGCCATCCTACCGTCCTTTCTCCAGGAGATCCTGGGGAAGGGGATGCCCCAACACTCGCAGGACAGCCTGGCGGGGTACCCCTTGGTCACGGTCAGGGTGCGGGGCTCCGGCGAGGGGAACGCTGGAGGAACTAAGAGCAAGGGGGTATGAGGCAGGAGGCAGCTGGGGGCTGGGCTGTGGGGGTACAGGGATGGAGAAGGGCTGTATCCTGGCACCGGCCAGGGCCACACTCCCCGGGACATGAGAGCCATGGCAGAACGGGCAGGGAGGGACCCCAGGGGAAGGACCCCAGCCCAGCCCCCGAGACCCTCACCCCAGACGTTCAGGTTGTAGTGTTTCTCTGAGCGGCCCGCCCGATCCAGCACCTCACAGGTATAGCGGCCTGCATCCCTCACCTCTGCTCTGTCCACCTGGCCAAAAGCAGAAATGACCCATAGTCTGGGGCCACACAGAGGTGGGGTTACCCCTGGACAGACACTTTACCTCACTGACCCCCAAGATCCCCCCTGGAACCCTGGCTCCTCCACTTCCTGCACCACGAAATTTCCAAAAGCCAGTGCCTGTGGTGGTCTGAATGAGCCAGGCACGTGGCATAGGCTCCTGAAATGGCAGCCCTGCGCTGCTAAGGATGGTGGGCAGGTGGCTAGCTCAGCCCCTCACCTGCCTCTAATCTGCTCCCAGTCTCTGTGGAAAGTCCAACAGAACAGACCAGAAGAGAGGGTGGAGAATGAAGAAGGGTGAGGATGGTGGGGACACAGTCCTCAGGGGTCAGATCCTGACCCAGGGGTGACGGTGCTAGACTGTGGCTCCGAGGAGTGAAGGGAAGGAAGGGCGGAGGAAACCAAATGGAGGTGCTCAGAGCTGGGAATGACCACATCACAAGGGCAGGAGGAGCCGGAGCAGGCTAGAGTGGGGAGTCTTGCCCAGCAGCTGGGGGTACCTCCCCTCCCCCAGCTGGCATGGCTGAGCTGTTACCAAGCCACCCCAGAATTTGCCAAG